GCTCCGGTTTGCCTTACAGTCCAAAGACATGCACTATAGGTGAATTGGATTAACTAAATTGACCATAGTGTATGTGTGAATGAGTGTGTATGTGTGTTTCCTAGTACTGGAATGCAGCTAGAAGGGCATCTGCTCTGTACAACATATGCTGAAATAGTTGGCGGTTCATTCCACTGTGGCGATCCCTGATTAATATGGGGCTAAGCCGAAGGAAAATGAATGAAAATGGATTGAAACATTGAAGACATGTGTGTTTGACAGGAATCATACGTGTGGAAGATGTACCAGGAGAGATGCTGGGATTTCTTCCCTGCAGGAGACTGCTTCAGAAAGCAATATGAAGACCAGCTTGGATAAATGTGGCTTTGATTTGTACGTAGTGCTTTAAACTAACACATCAGGTATGAGATTCGTGTGCCAAAATCAGAAACGTACTATTGACCTTATTCTCCGCAGACGAGCGGGCGCTGCCATTTGAATCTTTTTGGCACGAGACTTCCGGTCTCATTCACTTCCATTCATTTTTAGACATTAAAAACTGCTCGTTACGCTGTTTGATGTTGCAAACTGATATTTCCTTGTTATATTATTCTACTTGGTCTGTATAGTCATGCAAACATTTGTTTGTAGAGCAAGTAGTTTGACCGTTTTCTGCCGTTTATTATTCCTAGTCATTTCTCCTATAGGCGACTGAATCGGAAGTTCTAAGACAATCGCGAAAACAGGCGCACTTCCGCATTTTAGAATAAGGTCAATAGACATGCACAACACCAGACCATTTCAGCTCTTATATATGTTTAACAGGCATGTTATTTATTCATTTTGAGGATTTTGGGTTGTTTTAAGTATGTACACGTTTAAAATGTTTTGACCCAGAATGTTTTTTTTTTTCTCCGTAAATTGGAAAATGTGATTTTATTCAATGTTCTCCTGCAAGTGACACTTTAAGATGAGATCGAACATTAGAGTGGACTCTGAAAAATGAAATAAAATTCAAAATGTGCATATGAATTATGGACTAGCTTTTTATGAATGTTTTTATTTAATGTTTACAAAAGCATTACATTCTTTAAACATCATACAATGATATAAAGAAAAAACAAACATATACTCTTATGCCGTGTTCAGACTGCATGATTTTAACCCTGATTTTGACTCGCTGACAGGTTTTAAGAAATCACAGACAAATGCCTGAAATCACAGGCAAATCAGCCCTTGTTCATGAGAGTAACAATCACACAGTGTGAGCTATCCAAGACGCAATCTGAGAGAATCGTCAATGAGTCGCCGACACCCATGAGATATTCGGAATGCTAAATATCTGGAGCTGTCGGCGATTCAAAATCATGCAGTGTGAAATGTGCTCTGATTGAAAATAACATCAGCGATCAACTACAGCCAATGAGAGATCAGCATCCACTAGTATTGGGTATCTGCAGGCCAGCAGGAGGTTGTGGGAGATGTTAAAAGGGCCTATTTGGTCTCAAGAAATGGAGGAAAAAGTAGTGGAGCACCTGTGCCTGTTTAATGCGTCATCTGAGCAGTATTACAACCCGGTCAAAAAAAGAAGAATTGAATCCCTTTAAAACCCAGCTGAGCAAAATAAGCACGTTTTCTACCCCACCAAATGCTTCTTTCTCGTTATGTAGAAAATAACATAGATATACTACCCCACCTTGCGTTTTTAATGTCACTTCTCACGTGTGTTTGGTTGTGAGATGTAGTTTGCTCACTGAGACAAAGTTGTTGGCTGTTCTTCCTATTGTAAAGTCATGCAGTGTGAAACCCCCTGTCGCCGATCCATCTTGCAGTGTAAACACATCAGTGATGGAACGCTACCCTAGATAGTCATGCAATGTGAAAACATCTGTGATGTGACTATAAAAATCATGCATTCTGAACTGAGCATTACAGTAAAACATGAGAGCAATGAAAATGTTTATTGAAAGGTTTTAATCCACTTCAAATGTTGACTATATATATATATATATATATATATATATATATATATATATATATATATATATATATATATATATATGTGTGTGTCAAACTATGTTGCAAAAAAGCAGCAGCATGAATCACAAACAGAAATCATACCACGGCCACTTTATTAGGTACACCTCACTAATTCGGGATTGTACTACCTTTTGCCCTAATCCTTCATGGTACAGATTCAGTAAGGTACTGGAAATATTCCTCAGAGAATTTGGTCCATATTGACATGATAGCATCAGGCAGTTGCTAAAACTGCTCTATTGGATTGAGAGCTGGTGACTGTGGAGGCCGTTTGAATACAGTGAACTTATTGTCATATTCAGGAAACCAGTCTGAGATAATTAACGTTTTATGACATGGCGCAATATCCTGCTGGATGTAGCCATGAGAACATGGGTACAGTGTGCTCATTAAGGGATGGAGATGGTCAGCAACAATACTGTTGAGATGACACGATGCTCAATTGGTACTAATGGGCCCAAAGTGTGCCAAGATAATATCCCCCACACCATTACACCACTACCAGCAGCCATAACCGTTGATACCAAATAATGTTGTTAATGCCAAATTCTGACCCTACCATCTGAATGTCGCAGCAGAAATCAAGACTCATCAGACTAGGCAACAATTTTCCAATCTTCCATTGTCCAATTTTGGTGAGCCTGTGTGAATTGTAGCCTCAGTTTCCTGTTCTTAGCTGACAGGAGTGGCACTCAGCGTGATTTTTCTGCTGCTGTATCCGCAACAAGGTTGGACATGTTGTGCGTTCAGAGATGCTCTTCTGCATACCTCGGGTGTAACGAGTAGTTATTTAAGTTACTGTTCTCTTTCTATAAGCCTAGCCATTCTCCTCTAACCTCTGGCATCAACAAGGCATTTTTACCAACAGAACTGCCGCTCACTAGATATTTTCTATTTGTCGAACCATTCTCTGTAATCCCTAGAGATGGTTGTGCATGAAAATCCTACTAGATCAGCAGTTTCTAAAATACTCAGACCAGCCCGTCTAGCACAAAAAAGCATGCCATGCTCAAAGTCACTTAAATAACCTTTCTTCCCCATTCTGAAGCTCGGTTTCAACTGCAGCAGATCGTCTTGACCATGTCTACATGCCTATATGCAGAGTTGCTGCCATGTGATTGGCTGATTTTTGAGAAATTTGCATTAACGAGCAGTTGGACAGGTGTACCTAATAAAATGGCCGGTGAGTGTATATAACAAACTCAGTGCCTAAAAAACCTTTAGTAAATAAATTTTACCTACAATCCTATAAAAAAACAGAAAAATAATTCCATACACAAATATAGAAAACTCAACAGGAGCAAACAAGCAAAAAGACAATATTGTTAAAAGTGCTTGGATGAACTTGACTACAATGCAGCTTCTTAAATTCATTAAAATAGCAGACACTATATTACCATGTGCATATCCACCTGAGCTGAGCTATTTTCAGGGTTTCAGCAAGTTAAATGTAAGTCTTTTTAAGACATTTTAAGACCATTATGAATGAAATTTTAGACTTGTACACAGCTAAATGCTAAGGATTTTTGTCAAAATTCCCAGTTTGAAAATATTTTCACTTGCCCTATTAAAAAATGATTAAAATCTAATAAATTTAACAAAACAATATTAATAATTTTGTTGGAATAGTTTTTATTCGTTTTCAAATATATCAATTTCCAAACCTTATAACCCTGACCAAGAATATAACAAAAAATAGCTGTCAATCACTTCAGTCTACAATAATAAGAATTCAATAATACAAAATATAGGTCAGGTCAGTATCCTCAGCAGTAAAAAAATGGAGAACTTTTAAGCAAATGTTACTGTGAGGAAAGTAATTAGATGCTATTTTTAATTTTTAAAAATCTAAAGTTTTATCAAGATGGTGATTGCATGGGTGTTAATGGCCAAATTGGGTAGCTTTACATAAACAAATGAAAATTAAGACCTGTTAAAAAAACATTTAAGATCTACAACAAAACATTATTGTACATTTAAGACTTTTTAAGGCCTAACATTTAGCTTTTGAGATTTGATGTGCGAGATGAGATTTGAAAAGGACTTCAACATTACATAACATGCGCAGAGCCTCTTTTTCACTTATTCTGAAATCATTGTTGTGATTTTTTAAACTGATTTTCTCTTAAATTATTAGTAAACCTACAATTTTAATTAATACACAACAACAATGTACTAAAACATTTTCCTTCAGTTTTTGAAAAATGTTGGAGAAAATAATACTGTAAAAACTTTGCCCGTTTACGGCGAAAATGCCAACACTCTCCATGTATTCCTATCATTGACAGTGCATCATAGGACTGGGTGGGGCTAAATATGTATTTTGGTATACTTTACATTTGCGATTCTCTAATTGGTGGAATAATCTGTACTAGGCCTGCACTATATATCTTTTGAGCATCGATATCGCAGTGTAATCATTCGCAATAGTCACATCAGAGGCATACGCAATGTTGAGTTTGTATTATAATTCATCATTTGCATGTGTTTTTGATGCCTGTGATTGTATAATGACCCTAAAAGCATTCAGGCACAACAAATTGTAGCATTTGTGACTTTAACAACGATTAAATTTACTGAATTACTTTTATTTTTATCATTCAGTTACTGTAATTGAACACTGTTAAGCTTCATCCCAATCGATCTAACATTATCAATTATTTCCAAATAGAGATATTCAAGTTATCTGGTAAAATTGTATTTATATCGCTATATATATATATATATATATATATATATATATATATATATATATATATATATATATATATATATATATATATATATATTTATATATATACACATACATACATCTCGTAATGTTAGATTTTTCCAATACTGTGCAGCCCTAATCTGTACGGCATTACGGGGGTGAAGTCGTTTTTCCTCATCAATCTGCCCCCAAAATGCCATTCTCGTGTAAATGAATGGCTAAAATGCATGACAACTTTCCCATTTCCCATTGTTGAAAACTGACTGGATTAGACAGGATTGTCTACTTGAGAAGGATTTTGGGTTTGCAGGGGTTCAGCAGATCCGGGTATTGTTGAGGCTGATGAATATCTGTGCATGCTTTGGTAATCAGATGATACGTCTGTTGGGTTGGAGAGGATGCTCTCACTATCACTGCTGGACTGGGAAAAGATCTTGTACTCACGAACAGGGCAGGCGCGCTCTGTAAAATTGGGTTTGAAACCATTCTCCAGATCTTTAGGCATGGACAGCCATTTCTGTAGGGAAATGAATACAAAAAGATACTTGCGTTCCTCGCTATGAAGAATCATGTATGGTAAAAAAAAATGACATTTTGGTCACACTTTATTTTGATGGTTTGTTTGTTGAATTTAAGTTACATTGCATCTAAATGCCAACTATTTCTCATTAGATTCTAAGTAGGCTGTTAGGTTAGGGTTGGGGTTAGTGTAAGTTGACTTATAGTTATAGTCAGTGAAATGTCTGTTGAAGGAGCAGTGTGCAGAGACTTTAAGCAGACAGTCTACTAATACTCAAATGGACCATCAAAATAAAGTGTTACCTAAATTTGTTCTAATATATTTCAAAATATACAAAGGAATAGGCAAAAAATAAATCAATTTTATATTATTTACACTTCATATATTTCTATGCAAGACAATACATTTACAGGTGACATTAAGAACATCTTTATTTGCACATCAACCAATCAAAATACTAAAATATTTATAACTATGCTGATGCATATAGTTTACTGTTATTATTATTGCTATTTTTTTAATTATTTAATGCATTTTGGAAACTTTGATCTCCATACTCATTTTACTGTAAGGTTGGAAATGTATTTCTTTACCCTAAAATATATTTAGAAATATATTTTTTTCTTGTTAAAATGAAATATATTTTCCATTTCAAAAATATATTTAACACAGATACAACATATATTTCATATGTTTTAACATATTTCTGTCAGGAAAATTATATTTTTTAAAAATGGGATCATTTTCAGAGATTGTCTGAGTGAGAAAGAAATGCTACTTACTTCAACATTGCCGTCATAGTTGTCAAAAAGGGCCGCAAGATAATTGCTTACATTCCGTCCTGCATTTGGTACCACTGGTATTAAAATTATCCTTAACCTAGGGAATGTTAAACATTTGATTAGAGGGAAGAATTGTTGTGCTGATATCCACCGGTCAAATATTTGGGGTCATTTTTTTTTTCGTGTTTTTTTTTTTTTTTTTTTTTAAGAAAATGATTATTTTTATCAAGGCAGCATTTATTAAATGTAAAAAAGGAATTGTTAAATATTTATTGAAATTTTAAATATCTGCTTTCTTATTGGATATAGTTTCAAATGTAATTATTACTCCAGTCATTATTGCTTTTTTACTATTACCATTGATGATAATGATGATAATAATAATAATAATAATATAAACTACTTTTGAACAGTTGTTTTATAGTGCAATAACTTGTACTGTATTTTTGCTGAAATAAATGCAGCCTTGGTGAGCAGGATTAGCTCATTTTAAAACATATTAAAATCCTACTGGCCCCAAACTTTTGACAGGAAGTGTATATGTTTAAGAATTATCATACACAAAGAAGTGATTCAAACCTTTCACTGTGGACGAGCAGGCAGGAGAGTATGACGAGTAGAATTGTTGCTCCCACAGCATACAAGACCAGTGACGTCACAGACATGGAACCCAAACTCTCCGGAGAAAAAACTGTTATGAAAATCCCTTTTTTTTATTAGCAGATCTCTCCAAACATATACATGTATTTTACAGCTTTAGCACACTTAAGATAAAATATTGCTTCTATACTGACAGCAATACCCAGTGCTTGGCAACTTTAGAGTGTGGCCACTCAAAAGGAAGTAAGCCTGCAGAACTGTACCAGATTAGAAAAATGCCAAACCTCAGTGCCCTTAAAGTTCATCATAATCTCTCCTATGAAGTTTCACAGATGTATAACTTTTGATCAATTTTGGAATTAAAATCAAGCTATTTTAGTCAAATATTGATAGAATTAACAGTTGAATGTGCCAAAACTTTCTTCAGTTAAACAGAGAAAACTGAAGTTATTGTGTTTGGGAACAGAGATGAGGTTCTCAAGGTGAATGCGTACCTTGGCTCTAGGGGTCAAACAAACAAAAAATAAGGTCAAGAATCTTGGTGTGATTCTGGAGTCAGATCTGAGTTTCAGTAGTCATGTCAAAGCAGTAACTAAATCAGCATACTATCATCTCTAAAACATTGCAAGAATTAGGTGCTTTGTTTCTAGTGAGCACTTGTTCATGATTTTATCAGCAGCAGGGTGGATTACTGTTATGGACTCCTCACTGGCCTTCCTAAAAGACAGTCAGACAGTTGCAGCTCATACAGAACGCTGCGGCCAGAACCAAAAAATCAGAGCACATCACACCTGTCCGCAGGTCTTTACACTGGTTCCCAGTTACATTCAGAATAGATTTTAAAGTATTATTACAAGTCTATAAAATTACTAAATGGTCTAGGACCTCAGTACATTACAGTCATGCTCACTCAATACAAACCTAACAGATCACTCTGTTTAGCTGTGCCTTTACTGAATGAGCATTGTGCTATGTCCGACAGATCGCACTATTATGGCTTTCTTTTATTTTTCCCTCTTTTATAACCTGTTTAACACATTTTAATCTGTTTTTAATCATTTTTGTCTTTGTTAATTTTATTTTTTATACTTTTATTCATGTTTATGTAAAGCACTTTGAATTACCATTGTGTGTGAAATGTGCTATAGAAATAAACTTGCCTTGCCTAATCAAGTCTTTGAATTACACTTTAAGCAAATAATAGTACCTCGCAAAATAACTAGTAAACTATTATGCAATGTCATCGTGACACAAACAAAGAAATTATGTTTAGAAATAAGTATTAAATAGAACTTTGTAATTTATTTTAAAGAATAAAAATATCACAGGAAGGCTAATTATTATATACAATTATGTACATAGGGCAACTTTTTGAACAATGTTGCCGGGCAAATTTGGGAAATAATGTCCTCAATGGGCAACCAGGTACAGGGCAACTAATTAGGGCAACAAGATACATATATGATATTGTTACCCATTCTCAATAGTAAAGCAGCTGAGCATCATCACTCTTCAATAATGCCTGACAACGTTGCTCAAACAGTTTCCCTGTGTATATTAGCATTATTGATAAATCCTACTTTTGCTTGTGTGACTCTGTATTTCTGCAGCTCTTTTATTTTCAACATGCTATGCAGAAAAGAGATTTGTAATACTGATAAGATGTGGTGGTGACATGTTAAAATATAGGTCCATTAGTTAATACATTTACTAACATTAAGTATGAATAATCGTCTAAAGCAGTTCAACATTGACTAATACATTATTGAAATCCAAAGATGTGGTTGTTAACATCTAAGAGCCCCTATTATGCATTATAAAAGATCATATTTTGGTTTTGGGGTCTTTAAAAACAGTCAGATATGCATGCATGGTCAAAAAAACACTTTCCTTGTCTTATAATATGCATTTATTTTATCTAATTATCCCAACGACTCTCATGTAATTTGTTCAGTGGCTCATTTGTTCCCAAATTCCTCTTCTGAGTGGGGCTAATCTGCGCTGTTTGGTCCGATGACTGTGTTGTAATTGGTTAACTGTGTTCAGCACGAGATGGAGAGAAACGCCCTGCACGCCTATGAAGTACCCGGAGTACAGAGTGTATGTGTGAGCCCAATGCAGGAGTGCATAAAAGCAATGCAGTTAAACACCAGCCTATTCCTTTACTCTTAACCTAACCCCAAGTAATAACAACAACACACATTCAGTATTAATCCACACAGTCGCAAAAATTGAAATATTTTGAAAATTGACCGCGCCACATGCGAGCTGATGTTGGCCATAGCAAAAGCAAACGGCAAATCTCTATTTTTAAACAAGTGCACGTTCTGAATGCTGAAGTCATTCTGCTTTGTAAACCTGCGATGCCAGAACATCTGTCTTTGTTTTGGTTATTTAACCTGCCCAATGCCAGTTTAGCCAATTATATTTCAGCACTCTGGGTTGCCTTTGTAGAAAAACCGCTATTTGATTTAGTCAGGAAGACTCTCAAAGTATGTGTCTGCAACTGGAAATTGACCACCGGTGGACAGTATAGCCTCCGAAATGTAAGGCTTGGAGCTTACGCTGCTATTCTAAACTAATAGTCGGAAACAGAAAGCAGTTGAAGGATGGCGTGTTTAAATCCATTATTTATCTGACTGCATTGTAATAAATCTGACTCCATTAAAGTTGTTCTCATCATTGATAAAGAGAAAGAATCTCAAAGCTTAAAGCAAGCAAAGTTGTTAATTAAGTTACATGTTTAAATATACAGACATTAGAATGAAACAAACTAACATACTGTATTATGAGATCAGCTGTAACATATGCACTGCTGAGCAACAAAGACAGTGAAACTGCCTTTGTTAGCATATGAGGCTACGCACTGGTGTGCGGGAGAAGCAGAGTAAAAACCATTCTCCCAGATCAACACTTACCTTTCCTTATTATACCCTGAGCAAAGCATTGTCAAACATGAGTGAAAACCAACCCCCAAAATCAGCTGAACATGAGACCAAAGTTGAGGAGATAAAGTGTGGGAGAAGAACATTAACAGACTCCCCACAGGCCATGACTCAACAATAGTAAATATATATTGTATATTGAAATACAATCAATCAACGTCTCTGTTGATTTCATCCCTACAAAGCTGAAGTCATAAACTGCCAAATGACACCAAACATGACAAAGTTATGAAGGAAGATCACGAGCAGATGAATTGTGTATGATGAAAGCACATGGTTACTGTAAGCCAGGGGTGCTTAATCCTGTTCCTGGAGATCCACCTTCCCGCAGATTTCAGTTGCTACCCATATCAAACACTCCTGCCTGTAATTATCAAGTGGTGTTCAGGTCCTAATTAATTGGTTCAGGTGTGTTTGATATGGGTAGCAACTGAAATCTGCAGGAAGGTGGATCTCCAGGAACAGGATTGAGCACCCCTGCTGTAAGCAAATAACAGAGATGTGTATTGGAGCTGTGAGGAACTCTGCCACACCAGGAGAACCAGGGGCGGACTGGCCTTATGGCAAATGCCAGAAGGGCCAGACCAATTTTTAAATGTGGGCCGATCAGTTTTTATTTTATTTTTTATATGTATTGTTTTTACGTGGAGGCAGCTTTTATCTCTTGATAGATGTGATATTATGATGATGATGATAATGATAATAATAATAATAATAAATGTTAAGCATTTGGACCAATCGGCGACGGCCGCCTGATTTCAAGATGGGCCGACCCAATCCGAGGTTACCCGGACGTAATTAAAATCAAGAATGGCAAGAATGTCATATTATTTCACCATCTGTACATCAAAATAAATAGTGAATGTGCGTGTCCGTGGGTGGGGCTATGTCAGTGTGGTAATGTGGGCTGATGTGGCTAAAGTGCCAGGGCTGAATTTTTGTCCCAGTCCGCCCCTGAGGAGAACCCATCCCATGCTTGGAATGTCTCAGTAGTCCTTCATTAGCATAGAAGGAATATATAAAAGAAGAATATAAAATATTTTCTCATCTTACAGAAATAAGACGCAGAATCACATGAGGTGGTTATTAACAAGCAAATAATATCAATAGTATGAACTTAAACATTAGGTGAACAGGTTACAGTGTAACGCTGTGTCCTAACATTCCACTAGTGTCTGAAGAGAAAGGCGCATTTAGGTTTTGCTGGATCCAGCAGTTCATATTTGGTATTGTTTCGTGTTGACGTCAATACGAACAGGCTAACAATCTGGATGAACGACGAATCATTTAATCGTTTAACCATTTAAAGTTGGATCTTTCATATAAAAAATCTATATTTTAAAACAAGTGCACGTTCAGATTTAACCCTTAGCTGGATAATTTCACTTAGAGCTGTGTTGCACACTGCGTGCTGTTTCAAAAATCCATAGTACGGCCATGAGTTTACATGAACTAACGTTATTTCATATAAATAACATTGACTAACATTAACAAAGTTGAATAAATACCTTAATAAATGTATTACTAATAGTTTGTTCATGTTAGTAAATACATTAACTAATGGACCATTATTCTAAAGTGTTACCGATGTGATAAGCTCGTCAGTACCTGTGTCATTGAAGGCTTTCTCAGTTCCCCATGTCACAGACTCGCTCCACTCGCTCCAGAACTTGGACTGGCCGCAGGATGAGGTTATCCGAGCCCTGACCTGAAACTTGTACTGTTTGTTTGAAGGAAAGGGCAAACTGTATGTGGTCCTGACGCCTGGAGTGGTGTCCTAGGAACAGAGGAGGTGGAAATCATTTTGTTTGTCTTCAGTAGTCAGATGATCATAAGGTGAGATACATAAAAAACGAATAATTCAACTAGAAGTTTAGACGAGCATTGGGACTTTCTGTCATTTGTTTATCACTTCGTTTTTTGGATATTACATTGTTAAACCAATAGGTGGCGACAAGTTACATGGTCTGGTAAACATACAGACTTACATGGTTTACCAACTAACTGTACACAATTTTGTTGTATTAGAAAAATTGTACAAGCCACAAGCTTTTTAATTCATTACAAATGTAAGATTATACATAAAGAGTTCTGAACATCTTTTTCAAGTCTCCTTCAAAAAAATAAAGGGAACACTTAAATAACACAGTGTAACTCCAAGTCAATCACACTTCTGTGAAATCATACTGCCCACTAAGGAAACAACACTGATTGACAATCAATGTCACATGGTGTTGTGCAAATGGAATTGACAACAGGTGGAAATTAGAGGCAATTAGCTAGACATATATATATATATATATAAAATGCTGCGCTTGATTGGGGTCCAGCTGTGTTGCGAGTCGGAGTGTATACAAGCGGAGGAGAGGAACAAAGGACGGATCGGTCACACATCTCCGCCGTCGTTGCCTCACTGCTGCTGTTTTTCTGAGCATCTGTCTCCTGCCCCAGATTATTTGTTGCATTAGTGTGGGGTAATTGACTGATTTTGTTAATAAATTGACTGAAAAGTCTATTTTTTTCTAACTGCTTGTCAAATTTCATCTGGGGCGGTTTGCTTTGTTTTCACTTATTAAAACTATATATTATTTTTGGATGATTGAAACTGTAGGTTGGGAATCGCCATTTTCTTTAAAAACCTGTTTTTTTTTTTTGTGGCAGCGAGGAAGTAAGGGAAGGTTGTCGTATTTTTTTGGGGGGGGGGGGGTAAATTTATTTTAGCAGGTAAGTTTGTATTATTTTACCCGCAAGTTAGTTGTCTTATTGTTTGTTATTTTGGCCTGTATTCCCTTCCGAAACGATGCTTCTGAGATCTTTATTGTTAAAAAAAATACCTTGTTAAGATTGGCAAATTCACTTTTACCATGTTACTTATGGAATAACATTTCATTAAAGCTTTTGGCTGATTGCTTATTCAATTTACAGCAAGCAAATGAAATGTAATGACTATAATAAAAAGAGACTATAATAAAAAAATAGAAAATTGTTCTTCTGCCAACCGATGTCATTCTCATTACAACACAGACACAGAAGCATGCATGTTTGTGGAGTTTTGATTGCATCTCAATCGATCATAATCAAAGAGAGGAACTATCCATTTCAAAATGTAGTTGCATCAAATTTCAATCATCAATTTACATTAATTGCATACCTTTTTCATAAAAACACCATGGTTAATGTGCACTTTCGTTCTTGTAGACCTTACAATGGCCGCCCCGTACATGTGTTTGTTTTATTCCATTTTACTCCATCATTTTAAAGGGGGATATCATGCACATTTTGCTCAATCTTGTGCTAATGTATAGTGAGTACTTATTGAGTACTATGGCATCTGTCTTTTCTTTGATTTAAAAAATGTATATATACATAATTACAATAAGAGAAAGTTACAGCTTTGCAATTCTCTCTGATAAAAAAAAGCAGATTGCCTGGATGTTTGCTGTGGGCGGATCTACTGAGTTAATGCACAAGTGTGGGGCAGTTTTTGTAATCATCTATTCAATTCAATTTCAATTCATATTTATTTCTATAGTGCTTTTACAGTGTAGATTGTGTCAAAGCAGCTCAACAAAGAAGATTATAGTGAATTGAAACAGTGTCAGTCCAGTTTTCAGAGTTTAAGTTTAGTTCAGTTCAGTGTGGTTTAATATTCACTGCTGAGTGTCCAAACACTGATAGCCTGAGATATCGTTATTAATAAAACAGTGAACACTGCAGTCTTAACCCTGTGAAATGTACAATCACACCGGTGTGATCAATCTAGGCTGGTTTCTGGAGCATATGATTAGAGAGTTCAGTGCATGCAACAATCAGCTGCTAAATTTAAATCTGCTGGCACTAATCCAGAGTAAAACACACATTACTTGTCAAAGATCAAAAACGATCAGCGTAATTTTTAAAATAAACTTAACTAATTGCTTTTTATGGGCGGCAATGTAGCTCAGTGGTTAGCACTGTTACCTCACAGCAAGAAGGTCGCTGCTTCGAGTCCCGGCTGGGCCAGTTGGCATTTGTATGTGCTATAGTTCAATTGAATAAACTAAATTGGTCGTAGTGTATGTGAGAGTGTATGGATGTTTCCCAGTACTGTGTTGCGGCTGGAAGGGCATCCGCTGTTTAAAATCATATGCTGAAATAATTGCCAGTTCATTCCGCTGTGGTGACCCATGATAAATAAGGGACTAAGCCTTTTTACAGGGTATTAACGTCTCGCTCTTTGAGCAAATCCTTAATATAGCAGTGGCCACACTGCACTTTTTGCCCCATAGACTTCCATTTATACACATACAAAAGCGACAGACCAGAAACGCAAGCTTGTGCGACAAGTTCGCTGCGCTGGAAAGTTCAAGCTTGGTGAACTCTGACCTGCGAAATTGCATCACGTGAGACCAATCGAAGATTAAAACATGACCTCTCTGTACAGAAATTTAAAATGTGGACCAATCACCGGTCATTTTTAATATTCAATAAACTTGTTTAATCCTGTGTCAGTTCGACAAAATTTTGCAAGCTCAAAGTCTAGTTAGCAGTTAGCATTTCGTTTTATAACACTCATTACCTTCCAATTGTTCTGGTCAGTCCTGTAACGAACTTCGCTCTCAATGCAATTGTCGTTCTTCGTAACATTCCAGTAAAGCCACAGTTCAGCATCTTTTTTCTCCACCACAGACAGGTTGGTCGGAGGGTTAAGCTTCACTGTTTAACATCACAGTAACATATCAATCCATCCATAATACCATTATGGTTAAATCTTGAGAAAGCAAGAAACGAATGGCTTCTCATACCATATTCTTTCAGCATATGTTCCTGTTCCGTCACCAAACTGCCATCGTCACGGTACAGGCTTGTTTTCAATGTATTAAAGCGTTGTGTTCTTTCTTTGTAGGGGAGCATGCAGGCCACATTAACACCATTTGCTGTCTCATATTCAGGACAGTCTTCGATGTCAAAATATGAAAACCTAAGAGAAATCACACATCAATTGTAAGTTCCCCAATTTGATTTTTAAAAATGCTTTCTTGTTTCATTAATACATACCCGCCCTTGAGACTGTAATTGTACTGATGTTCGCTCCATGTGCAGTTCACATAGTCCAGATTTATGATGAGGCAGTTTATTTCTGAATAAAGATGAGAAAAACGGTATAGTAAATATTATACTGGGATACTTTAGAGGAGATTGTTCTACTTTTTGGAATTCCTGATTTTATGCAAATCTATTAATTTAGAGAGGTAATCCCAGAATAAAGACGTTTGGCGCTTGTCACATGTTGTTACTCTCTATGTGCAACTGAAACAAGGCTGGTTAAAGCAAACTGGCGCATGTGCGCAGAAAACCATTCCCGCGTGCCTCACACAAGCTGCTCCTGCTCCTGTGAATCCCGGTTGTTTACATGCACACCAATAAAATACATGCCGCTCATGCGATGTGAAACCAGAGTAACAGCCTTTTATGTTACTTTTATGACACGAGGTGTCAACACGCAGTGTGTTTTGCAAGTTGACAAAATGAAGTTTATATAACACATACACGATGATGATCTTATTTTGACTAAGCATGGTTATAAAGCAGAAAGGAGGGATAGAGTCAGGGAGGTAAGACTTAAATCGGGCCTAAGACAATAGGGCCGATAGACAATGCCACCGTCACCAATAGACAACACGATGCTAAGCCGGCATCGGCAATACTCCACCCTGCCCCGTCACAAACCCTCTCGCAAAAAATACACTCACACACAAATGGCATTTTAGAATGAAAATGATCCACATCTACACCGTGTTTACGTTATAGTTTATCACAGTTTTACAGTTTATCCACACTGTCATGCGCTCACCTGAGTTCCAGAGACAGAGAGCAGTGCACGTCGGACAGTTTATCAAGGATGTACCACTGTATCGCGTCTCACTATAATTATTAAATGAGATATTCAGACATCCCAAGTCTCGCGGAAGTTCCGGGAGTCTCTACGCATTAGCGGGACTCATAAGTTTTTGACTTTTCTAAAAACTCTTAAGATATGCTTGCTTGCTGTCCTGGCAGAGAACCCTGAGCTCGGAGATAATTGAGTCCAGGCCTCCCGCCTGGTCAATAATCATATAAAGAAATCAGGTCTTGAGAGCTCCACCTGGAAAAGGAGGAGATGGGGTGGAAGGGGGGATTCTTCCAAAACAAAGATAAGGAAGTAAGGTGAAATCCGTCTATTTAATGTAAACTTGAATCAATCTGATTGAATTATTGCTGATTACACATGAGAAGCCAGGCATGATCAATCATATTGCATTTTCCTCTCAAAATTACTTTATAAAACTTTACTAAGTGAACATTCTTCTTTATCTGAAAAACAATGCTAAAGTCAGATATTCCACTTTGAAAATGTGTGTTACATGCCAGAACGTCAGTATTTGTTTTGGTCATTAAACCCACTCAATGCTAGTTTAGCCTAATATGTTTGCCAAATATGTATGCCTTGGTGGAAAACAGCGTATTTCGTTCTTTTAGTCAGGAAGATTCTCAAAGCAAGCATCTGTGTCCAACATGCGACCTTCGGTGGACAGTAGCAGACTCCAAAATGAGATGCAGATTCAGAGTTCCACATGAGGTGGTTATTAATTAGCAAATAATATAAATATTAGGAATGTAAACATGAGGTGAGCAGGTTACATTGTAATCCTGTGTCCTAACAACAAGCTAATTGAAGAGATTTACAGTGATATGCAATTTGGCTGTTTGCACAAGACGATATGACAGAAATTGAAATACAGCCATTCAGAAGCACAGAATAGTGCACTCACTGCACTACAAAGGAATGGCGAGGTTTATGATCTAATTAATACATATTAACCTTCTTTAATATTATTAAATGTGGATGCTAAATCACTGACATGTGTTGGCTTGCACTGAGTCACAGTTATAAAGTTCAATTTCAAACGGTTAATTTTACTTTCAAGATCTGAGCTGAACTGTCTGCTGCTGCTTTCAGTATATGGCAATAAATGTCATGTAAAATGGCATTCAAACTCACATTATTAGCGTTAAGCACTGAATAAAGCACATGAGGTGTACATGAGGCGATCATTGTCAGTTTATTCTGTTGTTCAGCAGCTTGACGCTGTTTATAAAATATAAATTTCAACTCCTTTTAGTATGGAAAATATGTCTTCTAACACATGCTGTTGCTTTTATTTAGAACACTGTTTAAGTCAGCCTTTAGGCTCGACAGTCAAGCACACTACTGTTGGTGTCGTCAATCTGACAACCTGCGCTTTCGTTTGTTTTGAACCAGGTGTGCAATACCTTTTTTAACCACTGGGTGTTAAACTTACAAACTGCACCTTTAAGTGGGCTATTAATATTGACATTAATATTAATGGGTTTTATTCTAGCTGAAATAAAACAAATAAGACTTTCTCCAGAAGAAAAAGTATTATAGGACATACTATGAAAATTTCATTGCTTTGTTAAACATCGTTTGTGAAATATTACATATTAATAAAATTAAACATTAATAATATATGCAGGAGGGCTAATAATTTTGACTCAACTGTATATGCTAATGAATGACAATATAAGAAGTCACCTTTTCTGCAGAGTGTTATGGTTATTATTAGTCAGCAGAGGATGCTCATTCTGTATGGTAATTTCTGTGTAAAAATGAACATACAGGAAATGTTCATTTCCGGTCAAATACAGTACTATTTTAAACAGTGTTACTTCTTAAAATGGTGTCAGTCAATATCCGAAATACCAATTAAAATAACATATTTTGACTTTAGTCAATGTTAGTGTGAGAAATTGGTCAGAATAGGTTGTAATCTCATGTTGCATGTGACACATGTTGGAAAGCAGCCATCTGAAAATCATTTCCTCAATTTTACATTACTTAAGACTACTTAACACAGTTACTTCAGGATTATCAATCGATCACCTCTGCTGATGAAATAATCCCTTTTTAGATGATGTTAAGATTATTTAAACATTACATTATTTTTTTTACATCTCGATGGTTGTAGAACCACATTACTTCCGTAGTCTTTGCAAACAAAACCACAAAAAGGAGAAAAAATAAATAAAAGACTGAAAAACTTAAAAGCCGATTTAGTCTAGTTTATTTAGGAAGTACTTTTTAAATATAAACATATATAGTTTAGTACTTTTTTAATATGAACTATAATATGTTTCATGAAAGAAACATGATCCATGTGTGGGATCATATCAAAATCTAGATGAAATAATACAAATAATATCCAGATTTTCTAAAAAGACAAATCTGTGATACTCACTTGGATCAGATGATGCTGAAAATGTGCAAAAGTTCCCAAAGAAAAGAGTGAGAAACAGTAATTTCATCTTGAACAGGGTCACATAACGCACTTCTTGTTGTTTCTGTTTCTGCTTATCTGGGTTTGTGAGCTGACGTATAGATTTCCTGTTCACACTTTGTTCGCCACCTGATGTTAAAAGAGCTACATGTCTCTATGTAAAAGATGATATGAAATTGATATTTTATATCATTTTATTTTGCAGTTCACAAATCGGTTTACATAAAAACAAACACAATGTTATCCAAAAAACTAAAACTGATATATATATATATATATATATATATATATATATATTATACTGATAATATATATATATATTAGGAATAAACATATATAACAAATTCTGTATAATATGTAACAATCAAGTATACAGCACAATAAAAGATTCACGTTTATGATTCATATTGTAAACAATCTTGTGCTAAGAACTACTAAATAGTAAAAATATATCTTTATTTCAGTGGATAAATTCTTTTGGTTATAAACTGTAATAAAGAACACATTTGTTGATTATATTTTTGCATTATACACTGGGGAAAATAAGTATTGAACATGTCACCAGAAAACATATTTCTAAAAGTGCTGTTCACTTGAAATTTTTCCAGATGTTGGTAACTATCAAAGAAATCCATTTATGTAAAGAAAACAAAACAACTTAGTCCATGAATGAAGTTATGTGTAATAAAATGAAATGAAGCAGGGAAAAATGATTGAACACATGAAGAAAGGGAGGTGCAGAAAGGCAGTGAAAGCCTAGACAGCAGCTGAAATCTCTCAGTAGTTATTCTGCCCTTCGTTAGTGTACATCAGGGGTAGGGAACCTATCGCTCGGGAGCCACATGTGGCTCTTTGATCAAAAATATGTGGCTCTCCAGCTGTGTTCCTTCAATAAAAAATGTAAACTGTCACAAAAAATCAGTTTCCTATTGAAAATACAATTAAAATGACGTTTTTATTGTATATTTTTACAGCAAAATGAATAAAAAATAAGAATAAAAAACATTTCAACCAATGCATGCATGCGGCGCTGTAAATTACCTTGAAACGCGATAACAGCTTACATTTCTATAGTAATCTTGCTCATATAAATTCAAAGAACATACATGAGTGTTAATGGCGAAAAAAAAATTCTATAAATTATCCTTTCTTAATACATGGACTTGCTCAACATGTGATGCTTCATAAATATCCCAATGGCTCTTTAAAAATGCATTCGCCAAAAAAATCTAAAATGGCTCTTTGCTGAAAAAAGGTTTCCGACCCCTGGTGTAAATGAATATCAACTGCTTCAGGCCAACATCTACCTTAGCAGGATGATGTAAATATAACAAGGGTGGACATTTCAGCAAGAAAACGATCCAAAACACAGCCAAATGCTTTCAGAGACAGAAAATTAAGCTGTAGAATGGCCCAGCCAATCACCTGACTTGAACCCAATAGAAAATACTAAATAAAGATCATATTTGATAGATGAGACCCACAGAACCATCAAGATTTTTACACTCTGTTGAAGTCTGTGAAAAACTCTCACCTGAGCAATTCATTTCTTTTATATAAAGTATTAAATACATTCCAGCAGTTCAGCACTTTCTCCCTTTGTCGTTTCATTGTTATGACACATAACTCATTTCAGATTTATTTGTTTTGTTTTATTTCTATACTTGTATTGTTTGGGTTTTTACCAAAATCTGGTTCAATTCCATGTCAACAGCCCCTTTAGAAATATTATTCCCAGGAAAAAAAATGACATGTTGAATACCCCAACCCCCGTATGTATACTTAATGCTATGATGGATTACTGTTATTTTACTTTTTTTTAAGTGCTACACTTTTCATTTTTATGAGTAGTGTTTTACGCACTCAAGAATCTTTCTTTTAATCACAAGTCTGTCAATATTAGTTAATATATTATACACTACATATATAGCAATACATATATATCTATACACATATATCAATGCATGAAGAGTTCAGATGCAAAAATCTCTAAATGCCATCTAGAATTTTCTTCTGCAATGAGCATATGTTTATGCCTCCTATGTTTATGTTCAGTTATTTAATGTTAAAATCTCTGAAAATAACCTGTTGTAAAAGTGAATTTACCGGATCACAACACAGGAGGCTGAAAAAATGTTCATTTTAGAAGAAAATTTCAGATGGCATTGAGAGGTTTTTGCTTCTTCATATATTATACATGTACCAAATACTGTAGTGATTTAAAGACCATTTCAATGTGGCAATGTCACTGGCCCATGAACATTTCCCTCTTGTTGTCAAACTATGTCTTAACTGTAACAAGAAGCAATCATATCTTAACATTAAAACAGCTGTCGTAACATTATTTATCAGTGTTTGGACTTTTTTAGATATTTGTAAGCTTTGGAAATTAAAAACGTAAAACAAGAAATAGGTTAGGACCATTGTTAGTGTTTACATCCCTCAAAATGGTCTTTAAATGTTCACCCACTGATGTAGACTTATTAGGTAGTTAGGTTTGCAGCACATTTTCTGCAAAATAAAAGCTTTCATTGCAATCCTCCCACACTAATGCTGACTTCAAACCAGCATCTAACTCAGACGTTGCATTAGCGGAAATCTAAATGATTAAAAGTATTTTCCATCATTTTGGTCAATTGCTTTCCCTTGAATGGTAAATTATGCTAGTAGATTAATAAACTACAGTGACTACAAGTCAACAAGATACAACATATTCAGTTCACATCTGGTAGATAAAAATAAAACAAATTTAAATATTACATCATTTACAAATAACATGCATCAGAATGATGAATAATGATATGATTATAATTATGATAATGATTAATTACACTACCTGACAACAGTATTGTCGTCGATCTTAGTTGTAAGAGCAACGAATAATAATAAACTGTAAGAACTTGACTTCTAGTTGATCATTTGGAAAAGTAGCAGAAGGTAGTTTTGTCTGATGAATCATCTGCTGAACTGCATCACAAATGCTGCAGAAGACCTATTGGAACCCACGTGCACACAAGATTCTCACAGAAAATAGTCAAGTTTGCTGAAGGAAAAATCATGCATGATTACATTCAGTATGGGGGTGTGCAAGAGATCTGCTGAGTGGATGGCAACATTAACAACCTGAGGTATTTGTGCTGCCCATTACATCACAAACCACAGGAGAGGGCAAATTCTTCAGTATCCATCTTATACTTCAGCCTCCGCATCAGCGTTCCTGAAAGCAAAGAAGGTCAAGGTGCTCCAGGATTGGCCAGCCCAGTCTCCTGACATGAACATTATTGAGCATGATGAGCTCTGGGAGTCCTGCAAGAACGCTTTCTTTGCCGTTCCAGATGACTTTATTAATAAGTTATTTGAGTCATTGTAAAGATGTATAGATGCAGTCCTCCAAGCTCATGGGAGTCATACACAATATTAATTCTTTTTCCACTGCCGCATGACTTTATATTCTATACTGTATATTATTTCTGTTAAGTGACAAGACTTTTATCAAAGAAAACAGAAAACAGAACTTACTGTCCTTATTAAATAATTAAAAATCAAGGCATGATCTTATTTTATTTTGGTCAAATAGGTGTAATCTAGAAGCCTTTGCTTTTCATATAAGCCACTTCTGATACCAAATGATCAACTAGAAGTCAAGATATTATTTGTTGTTCCTAAAGCTTGGATAGGCAACAAGACTATTGTCAGGTAGTGTATGCTGCAGCATCCGAGCTCTTCATCAAATGGAAGAACTGTCAATTTAGATGCCACTTTTCACTATCAACCAACCACCATATCCATTATCACAAATGATGCAAAAGTTCATGCATTGGAGCTTTTTAGATCAGTGTTTCCCAACCCTGTTCCTAAAGGCACACCAACAGTACACATTTTCAACCTCTTCCTAATCAAGCACACCTAAATCAACAAATCAGAACATAAGAAGAGACTCCAAAACCAGAAATGAATCGATCTGATTAGGGAGATATCCAAAATATGTACTGTTGGTGTGCCTCCAGGAACAGGTTAGGGAAACACTGCTTTAGATGACAAAAGGGATCTCTAAGGGCAGTATAGTATTGCTAAAGGAAAGACTTGAAGCTTCTTGTGCCAGCTGCAGCAGGGATGGCAAAATATCCGAAAACTCTCCATCATCATCGTCACAGTGCTCTTGCTGCAGGTCTGTGTGTTGTTGCAAGCTTCTCTGATGTGTAACTGCGCAAACACAAGACAGCGAACAGGAAAATGTGTGAGCGTAAGTGTGGTTTTCGTGTAGGTGATTGATGTGTTGGTGTGTTGAGAGGGAAGTGTGGGTGTGTATGTGTACCTGTGTTTTCTTCATTCTGGCTTTCCTGCTTACTCTCGGTTACTTTAGCAGCAGAAATGTGGCAGCCAGGACTGAGAATCTAGCATGAACAGGAAACTATCAGTTAGGTTGTATAAAGTATATGAATGCTAGTTACAATGCTAGCAATAATAGCCTTTGTGTTGTGTTTTTATATTAAGTCAGACCTTGCTGAAATTGTCCAGGTCTGGTGGTGACGGTGGCGAGCAGGAGCGGATGGCTTCTAAACTGGAGTCAATAAGCGCCAGTGGGTCACAAACATCATTTCTGTTTACAAGAGAACAACAGGAGCTAAGTATTAAAGTACAAATAAAATCAAAACTAGCCATATGATTTTGTAAGCTCACATTGCTAGCTTTGTGGTGAACAATTCATCTGTGCATGTCATTAAGAAAAGTAAAATTGTTTGCACTTGTAATCTTTAATTTTGTTTTCAGTTAAATTCTCAGATTAGGTCTGTTTGAGGTGTTGGGCGTGGCTAACATACTTAACCACGCCCCTCCAACTGTCAACGAACAGAAATGGTAATGAGGAGGTGTCTGATAGGTTGTATAACTCTTAAAACCCATTTTCCCATCTTATTGAATGAAATGCCTACTTTGCTACATCCAATCAGCTCGCAGAAGAAAAAACAAGCCACGGCCACTGTTTCCCATTTAATATTGCGTTTCTCTTGGAACTGCGTCACAGTACGGGAAGAAAAAAAAAAAACTATTGCAACTTCCGGTTCATGCGGACTTTAAAGTTATACATTTGATATTAATATGGCAAGACCTGTCTATTAATTAACAATGGCTGCAATTTAAAAAAAATGTCTTTAGGTATTTTGAAGATGGCTAGTTTTGTCCTACAATAGAGTGGAGGATCTGTGACGTCAATTTGTATGCAAAAATCCGGAAGCGAGTTAGCATTTTAGCAGTTCCGGTTCCCTCGTCCCAAAGTCAATGTTTTTTTTTTTAAATGGGGTTTCAGCTGAATCGCTTAAATAACGTTCGTGGCTTACACAAACTCAAGATACTTTCCTGTTTTACTCTACGACATAAAACACATCAGTTACATCACACTCTTGATTTTTTTAATCGGTTACGCTTCTTTAAAAAGACTGTAGCTATCCAGTTGCTAAATTGGACTGTATGCCCTGTAGCATTTGCTTAAAAAAGTAAATGCAGCCATAGGTACCTCCAGCTACATAATTTGCGTTCTCCAGAAACTTCCCTGGGACTGTTTTCAGAATGAGAAAGTGTTGTTTTTAATTGGATGAATGTCATAATATGGGAAAATAAGGATAATCTTAACTTCAGTTTCAAGAGTTCACACTTAGCTGATGATTTACAAAGCTTATTTGGCATGCTGTCCCGGGAGAGAGCCCCGAGCTCAAGGGCTCCTCGAGCCCGGGGCTTCCTCCCGTTGGCAGAGCAAGAAGGGAGCCCGAGCTCGGTGGATCTCAGAACTCCCCTGCTGCTGTAGCTAAGGGAACGTAAGGGATTGGACAAGCTTGATTGTTATGTATGTTGAATGTCTTTGGATGGTGGGAGAAAACCGGAGAACCCGGGGAAAACCCACGCGGACACGGGGAGGACATACAAACTCCCTACAGAAACACCCACTGGTCCAATGGAACTAGGGCCGGCAGTATTCTTGCTGTGTGGCTCGCAGTGCTAACCACTGGACCGCCGTGCCGCCCAATCACAGGTAAAGGAGGAGAATAGGGGAGGAAGGGGGTTTCTTCCAAACGAAGATAAAGTGAACTGAAAACTGAGGCTATTTATAGTAGCTTAGGGCTCATATGATTGGAAGATTAGTGATTAGCAAATGCGAGACTGGCCGTGATAAATCATAAGCACGTGATCCTCTCAAAATTAGTTTATGAATAAACTTCACTTAATGCTGACTTTAACAAGTCTCAAACTCTTCCGCTTGGATACTTTAGTGTTCATGACTAAAATTGTGTTGACTGTTTCCTGAATGACTGTGAGTTCAAACTACTGTTACAGTAGCATCACAGTAACAATGACAAAGTAACTCGACACAATGGAAAATAGTAACCCCACTGACTGCTGGCATTTCAGAAGTATTATTTGCAGAATAACAGTCAAAATGCAGAAGTATAAATGTGCGCTGTGGCATTGGCTGTGTCCAGAGGTTGGCGAACACGTGATAAAGACAGAAGTATAATTTGGAATTTAGCTCTTGTAAACACACTGATATGAGCAGTACAGTAATGATGGCATCAGTTTTATTAATCTAATTTAAGCCTGAGTCCTCATGCAATGGAATGGCACTCCAAGTGTAGTGGCTTTTGCAGCTCAAAAAAACCTGCATCTTCTTGACAACACAAACTAAAGTCCTCCATGCTAAAACTTCAGTTATTGTTGGTAGTTTATATGCAGCCAGTAAAAACCATCAGCTTGCATGATGTAGATTTATTACAAACCTTTATAGCATGGGTCTCAAACTGGATTCCTGGAGGGCCACAGCTCTGCATAGTTTTGCTCCAACCCTAATCAAACACTGCTGATGCAACTAATCAAGGTGTTCAAGACTAAAGACTATTAAGAAGGTGTGAGTTGGAGGTGGTTGGAGCTGAAATTTGCAGAGCTGTCGCCCTCCAGTAATTGAGTTGAAGACATATGCTTTAAAGGTTTGAGTATGACTGGAATCACTGCAATTTCAGCTGTTTTCTTTACAAATGAAATACTCTACCTTTCCTGGGCTGTTTCCTCAGACTCCAGGACAACTGGGTCATTCAGAAAAGACAGTGCCAGGTCCATGGAGGGCATAGAAGGAGAGGCGGGAGGCGAGAATGTTGGTAGAATTTCAGGAAGGCATTCAGTCATGCAACCTCTGTAATCCCGAAAACAAAAATGAAACAGAAAAAAGGAACCGTCAAATATTTCACTTCTTCTTTTTATTTGAAATATACTTTAGAGTTGTTTAAAGTTTATTATTATTAAAGTCAGTTACTCTACAACAGTATTGAGGATACATTCTGCATGTGTTGTGCTGTTGGTGTTACCTGTTCAGCTCAGGTGTGGGATCCAGCAGGTCTGTGATGTCAGAGATGATCATGCCATTGGAGTACACGTCAGCGGATGACACATCCAGCTGCCCAGAAACCCAAAATGATGTCACTCTTTTACAGTAATCAAGCTGCATTTACCACTAAACAGTGCTGTGTCTGATGAAGTGAGTTTTTAATTGAAATAAACGTACATTGGAAAAACGATGTCTGCAAAATTGTTGTAAACTATTTATATGGGCTGAATTTAAGCAAACAAGTTTAATAATTTTCAACTTAGTTTGTTTGTTTAAATTCAACCCAAATAAATTGTTTACAACCACTTAACTTAAAACAATGAGTAAATCCAAATGATCATCTTTGTTTTGTTTTTTTCAGTGTACATCAGCATTTAAGCAGGCACCTCTTGCAGCGAGGGGTTCTCTTGAAGGCATGAAGTTGTCAGGGTGGAGTTCACACCAAACGAACGCGCATATTTAGGTGCAGAGTGAAATTCTCCAGAATTGTCGATCATGGGGCTTTTAGAGTGGAGAAAGGAAAGACAGTGTGATAAGACATAACCGAAAATCCAAAACAGCCACATTTCTCACTGACTAAAACGACATTTTGTGTGGCTTAAACTTACAGTCTCCGTTTGCAACCTTTGATCCCATTCAGTTGTACGCTGTTGATGATGAATTTTATAATCTGAAAAAAAAATTGTGACAGTGATCAGTTGTGTGTAGTGAAAGTATATGTAATAGCATATACAGTGGGGGAAAATAAGTAACAAGTAAAGAAAATAAATAATAATACACATCATTATTTTTCACAGAAAGCATATTTCCAAAGGTGCTGTTGACTTGGGATTTTCACCAGATGTTGATAGCAACCAAAGAAAAGAAATCCATATATATAAAACTACTTAGTTCATAAAGGAAGTTAAATGTAATAAAATGAAATGACGCAGGGAAAATGATTAAACACATGAAGAAAGGGAGGTGCAGAAATGCAGTGAAAGCCCAGACAGCAGCTGAAATTTCTCAGTAGTACCTCAGCAACCCTCATTGCAAATGAATATCAGCTGCTTCAGTCCAACTTCTACATTAGCAGGAGGATGAAGATGAAACCAGGGTGGACATTTCAGCAAGAAAATGATCCAAAACACAGCCAAGGAAACTCTTAAATGCGTTTAGAGAACAAATAAATCAAGCTGTAGGATGGCCCAGCCAATCACCTGACCTGAATCTAATAGAAAATACAAATTAAAGATCAGATTTGATAGTCGAGACCCACAGATTTTTATACTCACTCCTGAGCAATTCATTCGACTTCATTCTCCATATGAGAGGCGTTTTTAAACAGCCTTTTATATAAAGTATTAAATATGTTTCAGTAGTTGTTATTACACATAACTCATTTTTCAGATTTATTCATTTTTTTTATGCTTGTATTGTTTGGGTTTTTACCAAAATCTGGTTCAATTTCATGCCAACAGCTTTTTTACCAATATTATTACCAGGAAAAAAACATGACAATGTTGATTGACAATGCCAATACTTATTTCCTTTGTTGTAGACATTGGGAATTATATTAGTATTTTTAATTGTGCTTTTATTTACCTTGCGTATGATTTTGTGCTGCTGCTGGTAGTTCTGTCTTAATGTGTCCAGTTCTCTCCATAAGCTCTCGTTATCCCTTTAGGAAAGGATAAAAGCATCTTTAGCCATGGCAGAGCATCAAAGATGCATTGCATTGATCAAAAGTGACAGTAAAGACATTTTTTAACGTTATGAAAGATTTCTACTCCAGTTAAATGCTGAGAGAAATTAAAACTGGGTTTCCACATACATGACAAGAGTCACGTATTAAACTAGAAAAGTAACATTCATAGACAAACTTTATGGTGGCTTGAGAAAGCCTAGTCTGAAAGTTTACAGTAGTTTTAAAGTCCAAATATTTGAAGTAGTTTTTAAAAAATGTACAAAAGTTGGCATAGATAGATAGATAACTACATATATTAGCATATTTCTAGTTTGAATTGGCATGTTTCCTGTTAGACAGTTGCTAGGCTGTTCTGAGTGGTTGCTAGTGGTTGTTAGCATGTTTGTTAGTATGTTTCTAGTATGGATTGGTATATTGTTAGTATGGATTAGTATATTGTTACTGTGTTTCTAGGTTGAATTGGTATATTTTTAGTATGAATTGGTATGTTATCAGTATGTCCAATGAAAGGCAATAGCAGTTTTTTTTTTACAATGAAAGTCTGTGGGACAGTTGCTAGGGTGCCATAAGTGGTTGCTAAGTTGTGGCTTGTAAGCTGAAAGGTCATCAGTGATTGGCAGATTGGTAGTCTAAGTTAAATGAGCCCAACCTTACGTCTGTATGACAGTCTGGCGCAAAGTTATGAGGTCACACAGTTTGGTCCAATATAAAGTCAATGAGACTTTCCAAATTTTCCAGGACAGTTTTCGGAAAACCGTAAGTCGAATCAGTTGGAGAAGATATAGCAACTAAATTGAGTTCGGAGTTATTTTGGTGGTATGGTCAAGGAAGAGATGCGTTCTTAATATAGCAATAACTACTATATTACATTAAAGGGGCATTCACCCACTGACAATTCTCTCGTCATTTACTCACCCTTGTTCAAAACTCGTTTTTTTTTCTCCTATTGAACACAAAAGAAGATGCTTTTAAAAATGCTGGTTGCTTGGACCCACTGACATCCATAATATTTTTCCTAGTAAATTCCAGCAACCAGCATTTTTCAAAGTATCTTTTTTTGTATTGAACTAAAGAATAAAACCAGATTATAGAGAGTTAATGATGAGGTAATTTTCATTTTTGGGTGAAATATCGGTGTAAAGTCTGTGAGAAATCAAATTTTACAATGTTCATTTTGTTAATGCTTGTTGTTATTTAGGTCAGTGGTTCCCGAAGTAAGGGTCAGAATCCCACGAGGGGTCGCAGGACAATGGAGGATGGAGAATTACTATTTTTTATCCATAACCTACTGAAGATAAAAATAGTAGTTTATAGTTGCTACATACTATATAGTTACTAATGTAGATTATAGTTACTAGTTCTATTGGATTAGTACCCCTGGGGTGATTACATTACATTAAAGACACAGCAATAGTGTCAGATGCAGCAGATAGATTTTATGGCACCAGGTTAAACTTTCTGGCATATTTACACACTCACAGACTTCAAATAAAATTAAAAGAAGAATAGATTTAGGCCTATTGGTGTGCGTGTCCCGTCACATGCAAAGCTTCTGTATTTATAACAACCTCAGAGGATATTGGGGGTCTTGAGTCACTAGCATTGTTATTTTGGGGTTGCGGGCTGAAGAGATTGGGAACCCCTATTTTAAGTGAACAATGATTCCGTGCAAGTTTCCATGCAAAAAAAAGTTTGCTTTTTTGGTAATCTTCAATTAAGGTCTGACCATTTGCTTCCATTTGACCCTCAATTTGACAGAATTTTACCCACGCCCCCCTAAATAGATAAATTTTTTATCTATTTATTATTTATTTTTTTATTGTCAAATCTGTACTATAACAGGGAAGTATGACAATAATATTTCGTAACTGTAAATGTCACACATAGGAGGAAAAACAAATAATAATAACAGGAAAATAAACAAAACAAAAAAGTGGTTTGCTTGAATGGATTTACATGAATTAAAGCTATTACATAATAAAGATTATTACATTACATAAAGATCATTTTAATTTACAAGGAAACCACACCCCCTTTAATGTGCTACAAGGTAATGAGGTGCAAAAATAAAGCCCCACCTCCTACTCAATATTCTATTTCAGTTAGTAGTACATCAGCATACTAAACTAAAAGTCTCAGCAACTTCCAGCTCCCACAGACCTTAACTTCTTATTTTACCATGATAGCTAATTGGCTAAAGTGTAGTTTTACACTCATTAATAGTTTATTCCTTTCAAAGAAACACTCACCTGCACAAAGCCGTGAGTTTGAGGTCTGAGGAGTCTTGACAGCCTCTGAAATGTCTAACCTGAACGATTACCTGAGACATTTGCCCTCCCTCTTCAGCCCCACGGCTAACAGAAACCTAAGACAGCAAATCAAACATACAACAACATATTTGCAGGCACGTCTTCGTGAGGGTATATGATTGTGATCAACTGTGTGTGTTTCAGAGCTGCGCTAACAGTATGTGATAACATTATATCAGCTTCACCTTCCTGCGGATGAGGCCCAGCAGATGAGGCTGATCTCTCTGGAAGTCCTCGTGCTGAAACTCAACGCAGTTAATTTGACTTTCAGCTTTAGGCAAGCCGGAGTCTACGTGCAACACTTTGTGGAAGCCATCTGTGTGTTCAGGTCAGACATGAGAGGAGATTAAAAGATATTATATTTTAAAAAACATTCTATATTTAGTCTGTCTGTCTGTCTATCAGTTCATCCACTCATCTGTCTATCTATCTGTCTGTCTGTGTCCGTCTGTCCGCCTATCTATCTATCCATCCATCCATCTATCTATCCTATCTTTCTGTCTGTCTGTCTGTCTGTCTGTCCAATGTTCTATCTGTCTGTCTATCCATCTGTCTATCTATCCGTCTGTCTATACGTCTGTCTGTCTGTCTGTCTGTCTGTCTGTCTGTCTATCTATCCATCTGTCTTTCCTATCTATCTATCTATCTATCTATCTATCTATCTATCTATCTATCTATCTATCTATCTATCTATCTATCTATCTATCTATCTATCTATCTATCTATCTATCTATCTATCTGTCTATCTATCTATCTATCTATCTATCTATCTATCTATCTATCTATCTATCTGTCTGTCTATATATCTGTCGTTCTGTCTCTATCTATTTATCTATCTATCTATCTATCTATCTATCTATCTATCTATCTATCTATCTATCTATCTATCTATCTATCTATCTATCTATCTATCTATCTATCTATCTATCTATCTATCTATCTATCTATCTATCTATCTATCTATCTATCTAACTGTCTGTCTGTCTGTCTGTCTGTCTGTCTGTCTGTCTGTCTCTCTATCTGTCTATATATCTGTCGTTCTGTCTCTATCTATCTATCTATCTATCTATCTGTCTGTCTGTCTGTCTGTCTGTCTGTCTGTCTGTCCGTCCGTCCGTCCGTCCGTCCATCCGTCTGTCTGTCTATCTTTCTATCTCTCTGTCCATCTGTCCATTCCTCTGTCTGTCTGTATTCATCATCAACTGAACACTTACACATGTTGAGTTGGCGCACAAAGCTGGTCATGTTGCTGTGTTTAAAGTATAAGGGCAGTACTTCTTTGCTGAACCGCTGCTCATCTTGGACAAGAAAGCTACAGCCATCCTAACAGACAGGAAGCCAGACGGATGTGGTTAGTCTTGCATCACTATATATTTATATGTCAGGCTTATTCTAAAGAAGAAACCATTTGGTCTGGCAGGAAACACTTTTTTTTCTCTCTGAAAGGGCATTTCAACACAGGTTTCTAAAATCTCTCTAATCTAGTTTCTGAGTTTTTTGTAAATGTTTCATGCAGCTCAAATTCTCAAATCATCAGATGAAACGTGAATCTTTTATGAAATGTTTGCTTGAAAAAAAAGGATGTAAACATTTTGTAAAATAATGTTTAGAATATAATATATAACTAAAGCTATAGAGAAAAAACAGATCATTAATTCTTGGTTTCTATGGATCTACAATTTAGAGTTGAGATTTATAATTTGTGTTTTTCAGACAGATTATATATTAATTTATTCAACACAATGCCAGTGTTTTAACTTCAGAAAGTTAATAATTGAAAAACTGTGTTATTTTGACCAATTGTCTTTTCAAAAGAGCTTAAAATGACAGTATATTATTGTAAATTTAGATGGAAAATTCTATTATCTTTTTGTAGAACAAGACAAAATTAAACATTTCACCCAAAAATCCACAGTAACCTTTAAATTGAATATTTTAATAAGTCATTCAGTCATTTTAAATATACCTGATAAGTACTTTTTGTGTAAAGTACGCTGAATTACAGAATTTATATTTGATATCAATGTTCTTATTATGTTTATGAGAAACCTATTTTTCCATGAATGAAAATATACAAACACAGATCAATATAAAAGAATGAAAAAGGTAAATAAATTACAGTAGTTTAGAAGTGAATGAAAATAAATCAACTAAAAGCATTATAGGACAGATTTTCTAAATCTATTCAGAGTCAATAGATAACAGAACATATTTTGTTGTTGTTACAGACATGTAAAAGTAGGGACTGAAGCCATACATTTTTTTATTTATGTATAAAAAAATCCAAACAATATAAGGGACATTCTGCCAGAAATTTACATTTTCACTGATAAAAAAATGTGACTGGGCCCACTTAAGCTTTTCGTTCTTAAAGAAATCATACAAAAACAAATATAAAATCATACAATTCGATGACTGAACGCATGCTTGATCACTATCAGCTTCTCCTCCATCATATGATGTCACTTCCGAGTCATTAGCCTTAAATGCTGCACGCATTTTATGTTAAATTTAATGCAGGGCTGACAGAAACATGGGGACAATTGTAAATTGATTTGTATTATATACTTGTAGTATTTATTTATAGAATTTATTTCATAATGTCATGTTGTTAATCAATTAATGTGAATGATTACATCTTAAACTTGCTAAATTTATGAAGTATTTATTTTTTATTATGAAGTATTGTTTTTATAGCATAACAAAGCTATTAAATCTGTAGGTTCAGTTGGGCTGAGGACAATGACAGGACTTGCACAAGTGTTTTTAATGAAGATCAAAAATCAGAGAACCAAATTGATATATTCCTCTACTGAACAACACACAGAAATCAACCATCAGGCCATTTTAGACATTTTATTTAATGTATTAATGTCTTTATTTCAGGTACAGATTATGTACGATTCTGGTTTCAAAGTTGAATATAAAATCGTTATAAAACAGTTTGATTTAATAAGTCATTCAATTATATTTGTGTTAAATATGCCTAAGGGGGTCATTTTGTGGGAATTACATAAAAGTAAATTTGATATTAACTGGTTCTAATCCCTTGTCTATGAGAAATCGTCTATTTTTGTGGAGGAACCAGTACGTGATGTCACATGGTGCGTTTTAAGCCAAGAGCGCGCTGTTCCAAACTCAAGTACATGCTAATAATATACTGATCAGGATTGGACACACAGTGGACCAATAGCGCGCGTCCTTCACCTGCGACAGAGTATTACACGTGGATGTGTTTTGTAAACCGGGTCAGACAGCGTACTACAGTATATATGCCATCTGAGGACTCCAGAATAAACGTCATCTGGGAAGATAAACTAACTTCATTACACATTGTTATTTTATTAATAGAGTTTATTATTAAGTTTATTATTTGTAATTATTATTTATATAATTGTAATTGTAACTCCCTGTTGCGACCCCTGTTAAATAAGGGACTAAGAATGACTGAATGAATAATTGCAATGTATTATTATAGTCTATTATTTTGAAATGGTAATATTGTTTATATTTAGATACACGTGCAGTATATGACAATGTAAATGAAACAATAATATAATACTTAATATATCATACGAACAGCACATTATAAATATAAAAGAAGTACAAATAAATAAAATTTAAAATAAAACTCTTTATAAACTTTAGAAATATAAAATAACAATAATAACTTACTTGACTCCAGCAGATCAGGTGATTCGTTGCCTGAGCCTCTACAAGTGTCCAAAGTTTGCTGACAAACGCTGGGACGTTTTTCATCTTTTTTTAAATATAAAGATCTAGATGAAGAAACTTTGTGTGTGTTGTTTGAAGATCAATGTTCGTCACACTGCTCCAGATTCGCCGACTGTGAGGAGGTAAATAAAGTCCTACACGTGAATTGTCCCGCTGCGACACACCCCCTTCTCCCTCTGTCCTCCAATCATGGACACCCGTCCCTGTAGTATACATAACTCCTGCACGTAAGTACACTTGTATTTTTCCAGTGTTGTCAATTTTTAAAGTTAGATTTAGTTGCTTTTAAGACTTTCTAATCTGCTTTTTTCCACAAGGCAACAAATGTAGTTAAGTAACTTACATGTCATTATCTAATAGCTCAAACGATTAAAAGAGACACCCACCTTTAAATTATTACTTGGTAATAACACAAGCAGCAGGTCATCAGTTTATTAACGTGTACTAATTGTTGATAACTTATGTAGACTAAAAAATAAATAAAACACTGTTAATTGTATGCTAAAACATTTGTGTATGGAACTTTTCCTGTTACTAAAACACAATACGGTGCATTATTTAACAGTGCAGGTTAAAAACGTCAGTACAGATGCCATATTAACAGATCCTTATTCTTTTTTTCAGAATCCATATCCAAGTAACACAATAAAAACTAGAATAAAAACTTGTACATAATACAACACCATTTAAAACATATAAACATATTCACTCAATGAGCAGTGCTTAGTAAAATGTAATGTGTGTGTGTGTGTGTGTGTCTGAGAGAGAGAGTTTAGCATACTCACCAACCTATAATTATTTCAAATAAAAATGAAGAATACATAAGATATTTCTTAATATTTATTCAATATTTGTACTTTAAAAAGAGACTTTGACTTAAATATCTCATTATAAACATGTTTATATTACGTTATTGAACAATTAACAATTTAAATCTGTTAAAATTGCCAATTTAAGCAATTGTTATCTAATATTCATCCTTCATGTGTGTTATATCATGGCACAACTATGTAAAACAAAATGTATATTATAATAATATACGCTTGTTTTAATTATGAGCATATTTTTATATGAAGTTTTGACAGCTTTGTCGCACACTGCAAAAATGCCTTTCTTACTTAGCTTTTTTTGGCTTATTTCTAGTTCAAATATCTCTAAATTCTTATATCAAGAAGCATTTTCTAGGCAAGCAAAAAATATTGTCTCGTTTTAAAAAATAATTAGCCAATATTAATTAAGTTCTTACTTAAAACAAGCAAAATAGTTTTTTCCTTTTGGCATAAGATTATTTTTCTTACCCCATGGGCAGATTATTTAGCTTGTTTTAAGGAAAAACTGACGTAATTTTAGCTTATTATTTCTTAAAACAAGACAATATGTTTTGCTTGTCTAGAAAATTCGTCTTGATTTAAGATTTTTTAGATATTTGGACTAGAAACGAGATACAAAAATATAAATAAGTAAAGCATTTTTGCAGTGCAGAAGGAAGGCTTTTATTTTGAATGCACCGATGACAGTACTTCCTGTGGACAAACAACACACTGCTGCTGCTTTAAACACGTTCTTGTTGATGCACTAAATGAAAAGTAAGTATTGTTTGTATAACTTGACAGTATACAATATTTACGGTAGTTATCGAAATGATTGCCTGTATTATTAGTGTCACTCAAACACACGTTGTCTGCTACGTGCTCGCTCAGCATGCTAGAATATTCTTGAACACGATAGTGTCGGTGCCATGACAACAAGCTCAAACACAGTGAGGAGCGAGTTGGCGACATAGAACACTTCCCCGTTGTCAGGTTTTACTTTATGTTAAAGTCTCATATTTATATAACACGCGCACACAGGACCGAATCCGCAAGCGAGAGATGGTTCAGCTTCACGTTAAACGGGGAGACGAGAGCCAGTTTCTCTTCAACACTACGGTGGATGTGCAGATTGAGACGCTGACCCAGCAGATCTGCGAGATCTACAATGCAAGACTGAAAGTGGACAGAATCTGCACTGGTATGACTGATATTTACGTGTTATGTATTTTAATAGTGTTGAACGGTATAAATGCATCTTTCGATTTGGTTTAACAGTTGTGTCAGGTAAAATTTAACTAGCGTTATTACACTGTAAAACCCAACAGTCAACTTTATCGAACGAAATGAGTGTAACGTTAATTAACTCAACATTTACTATAAGTTAATTCTACTCATTTGAAAATAGTTTTGAACTCAGCGTTGAAGGTAATACGTTAATTAAATACCTCATTACTCCAACTTAAATGGAGTAAGTTCACAATACTCTTATAGATTAGTTTAACTCAAATGGTTTGAGTTATGTTTACTGTGCTCAAATAGTTTTATTTACTCAATAAATTAAGTTTACAGTACTCATTGGGATTCGTTTTTGAACTTAAATGATTTTTTGCAATCGGTTTCCTCAAACGGTTTGAGTTACCTCAACTTTTTAGGTTTTACAGTGTAGTAGAAGTCAAGTATTGAGTGTATTAGGTTGCGTTAGTTTACCCGAAACTGAAAATTCTGTCATCATTTACTCACCCTCCACTTGTTCCAAACCTGTTTGTCTTTCTCTTTTCTGTTGAACAAAAATATATTTTGAAGAAAACTGGAAACCTGTACCTATTAATTTCCATTCATTCATTCACTTTCTTGTCGGCTTAGTCCCTTTATTAATCCGGGGTCGCCAGAGCGGATTGACTTATTCAGCAGGTTTTACACAGCAGATGCCCTTCCAGCCGCAACCCATCTCTGGGAAACATCCACACACATACACTCACACTACGGACAATTTAGCGTACCCAATTCACCTGTACCGCATGTCTTTGGACTGTGGGGGAAAACAGAGCATCCTGAGGAAACTCACGCGAATGCAGGGAGAAGATGCAAACTCAACACAGAAACACCAATTGAGCCGAGGTTCGAACCAGCGACCTTCTTGCTGTGAGGCGACACGACAGCACTACCTACTGCGCCACTGCATCTCCCCATTAATTTCCACAGTAATGTAAAATGTTTTCTTTCTGTGGAAGTCAATGGTTACCAGTTTTTAGCAGAATAAAGAGAAACTCGTAATCTTTTATTTTTTTAAGACAAATACAGTGCTTCTGATTTGTAATTGTACACTAAAAGCAGAGGTGTCCAAACTCAGCATGTATGTTTTTACAAAAAAAAAGCCTACTAAGAGCTTAATTCGCTTGCCCTGTTGTGTCTGATTAGGGTTGGAACTAAACTTTGCAGGACACCAGCATTCCAGGGTTTAGACCCCCCAAATGAACTCTGCATTTGTGTAGCTTTCATACAATTATTACTATGGTCACTGTGTTGGAATTAACCTTCAATAAATCCTTCTCAAAATGTAAATGAGGTGTTATTTATTTATTTTTTTTTAAGTTTTCTTTTTTTGTTAATCCACAATATTCAAGTCAATGCATCTATCAATCCATTTTTTACTTTCCAAATGGTATGTTCTGAGTTTCATAATTTATATGTATATGTCTGAACTCAAAGGGGTGATGGTTAAGAGGTGAAATATTATAGAATAATAAATATGTTCGTTACTAAGCCTTAAAGGGACTGTTCACCCAGAAGTGAAAATCTACTCATGAATTACTCAACTTTAAGGGGTTCCACTTTTTTATTTAATTTATTTTTTTTACTACTGTTTAAATACAAAAGAAGATATTTTGAAGCAAGCTGGAAACCTGTAACCACTACATAAAGAAATGACATCAAAGAAATGCATAAAGGTCTGGAATCGCTTGAGGAACAGTTCACCCAGAAATAAAAAAGTACTTGTGATTTACTCCTCCTCAAGTGGTTTCACTTTGTTTATCTCTATTGAACACAAAAAAATATTTTGACATCCATAGTAGAAATAAAAGCACTATCGATATCAACAGCTACCGGTTTTCTACATTTTTCATAAAGCCTTGTTTTGTAGTCATATGGATAAATAAACTTAAATTGGGATCAAGGGTGGGTTAATGCTGATAGTTCACCCAAAACGTCTCTTTAAGTTCATCCATGCTACTTTTCATTTGTTTACCCATAGAAATCCCAGAGCTGGCAGATCATGGTATCTCTTTACCACCAAAAATGCAAGGCCTGACCGATGATCAGATTGTGGAGCTCAAACTGAAGGATGAATGGGAAGAGCGGTGCATTCCCAGTGGCGGTGCTGAGTTTAAAAAGGATGAGATCGGACGTCGAAATGGACACGGTATTAGTCTGTCACATTTATCTGTTTATTACTATACATTTTCTTATATATGTGTATAATTTATGACACCTTAAATGACCCAAGAATTACAAAAAATTCTTGATTTAAAAATATTTAAATCAATGATTGTTTCAGAAATGTTCAGCAATTAAATATATTTTAAACATTGGTTACAATAATGTATTAAAAGAAAAGTTTTTTTTTTTTTGTTTTTGAAATGTAAAAAAAAAAATGTAGAAAATTTAAATAAATAAATATAATATATAGCATTTTAAATACAAAAAAAGTCATTGTAAAGGGTCTTAATGCATAAGCAATGTAATGTTGCCTTAGTAAATGTTTTTTCATTTTTTATAAATTTCTTTAGACGAAACTACCCCGACTGTGTTTTAAGAGTAGATGATTTAATTTGAATTTCCACATTAATTGCTATACCTAAACTCTGCCTTTCCATATAGCCCCAAACGAGAAGATGAAAGATGTTTTGCGAAGAACAATGGAGGAAGCCAAGGCTTTAATTTCAAAAGTATGACGTTTTTAACATAGAGTAAATCTAACTCTTAATATATTGTTATATATTTATAAATGTTTTTTTTCTCTGTCCAGAAACAACTGCAAGCAAATGTCTGTGTCACCATGGAAATGGTGAAAGAAGCTCTGGACCAGCTGAGAGGAGCTGTGATGATAGTTTACCCAATGGGACTTCCTCCACATGATCCAATAAGAATGGAGATTGAAAATCAGGAAGATCTCACTGGAACACAGGTATCAGAGATCCTCCTTAACAGAATAAAACTCCCCATTGTGTTCCGAACTGTTTGACTTGGACATAGATTGGATGTTAGTGCTTGGTTTCCAACATTTGTTAAAGTATCTTCTTTCATGAGAGAAGAAAGTCAGTCATACAGGTCTTGAATTTACATGCAAGTATGTAAACAATGGCGAAAAATAATTTTTGGATGACTTATGCTTTTAAGTAACTATGTGTATGTACTGTGGACCAAACTTCATGTTCTTTATTTGTTTGATGAGCATAACACAGGCTATAAATACTGATGAACGCTCTCCATTGCAGGCCTCATTACAGGTGATCACCAATGAAGAGGCTCAGCTGTGGTGGGCATCTAAAGAACTGCACAGGGGCAAAAAGCTGCAGGATTATATTGGGAAAAACGAGAAAACCAAAATTATTGTGAAAATTCAAAAAGTGTGTGTTCAGTATGAGTTTTACTTGTCTGCAAACATGATGTTGCGTTGATGTTTGAGATGCAATTTAAAAACTGATCACCTTTGTTTGCGTGTTCATGTTAGCGGGGCCAGGGCGCACCTGCCAGAGAACCAGTAGTGAGTGAAGATGAGCAAAAGCAGATGATGCTGCACTATTACAAGAGACAGGAAGAACTGAAAGTGAGTGCTTGAACTTTATTATTTAATATTATTATTATTATTTTATTTAATATGCTGTTTACAGTGTGTAAATAAAGTGTTTTTGCTCAATTGTATTTGATGCAAACTCCAGATATTATCAATATATTTACTAGCTATGGAAAAAAATGTATAAGACCACTCGATAATTCTGTTTCTTTTGATTTATTGCATTTTTAGGTGTGATTTTTTTAAGTCAAATGTGATCCAAATCTCAAATGAAAATATTGTAATTTCGAGCGTTTTTCCCCTAAATGTTTCATTTTTTTGTGATTTGAAAATCAGGTTTATTGCAATAAATATTGATTTTTTTTTTCAACTCTCATTTTATAAGACTTCAAATTTGGTAGTTTACAGAAAGGAAAACAAGAATTAAGTTCAAATGCTTAAATGCCATTTTAAATGCTCTCTTAACTTTTTACACAGCTGCATGTTACCTTTATTATGAGAGATATATTTAATTGTAGATTACTTCATTATATGGAGCTGTCATTGTTTATTTTTTCTTGTTCACAGAAGCTAGAAGAAGCAGATGATGACACACATCTTCAGTCGGAGTGGTCGGACAGACAGGCCCTAAAGAGGCAATTTCAAGGACTTACAAATATCAAATGGGGCCCAAGATAGATAAAAAGACAAGTAAACAACCGGACTACAGTTACTTTCCATCGGGCACATCAGTTACTTTAGATTCTCCTGCTTTTGTTTTTATGCAATTTGGTGCCTTTGTTACATATGAAAGGTATTTATGTGACTGTATGCAGATGAATGTTTGCAGAGTGCGAGACACCAGTTTTCTCTGTTCTGATTCATTGGTAGGATGCAACACCTTTCCTCTCTTTGTCTGTGCCTCTGGCAGTTACTCAATTGAAACTTGATGCCGTTTAAAGACAGGATGTTGCTCTCAGGATCGCTGTGGCACATTTGAAGAGCACCGAGAAGGAGTCACAGAACATTTGTGTATCCTCAAGGCAAAAAAAGCTTAAAGTATTGAGAGTTATGGTTTCACTGGAAAGAGAGGAAAGTTGAGGGTGAAGTTATGTATTAGAGAAACATTGTTTTATTTTATGAGTTTATGACATTTAAATATAATTCATTTTTAATTAAAATATTTTACCATCTTTTTAAAAACTTAGGCTTTTTTATTCATTCATTGTTTAATAAAATAAATAATTTATGAATTACTGTTCTGTTTACATGGCTTGTACAGTGTAACACAACAGCAATATATTAGCTTAATAGGATGATTTAAGTCACTAACTTTCTTAATTCAGACATAAAATAACATCAGTTAACAATAGCATTGTCATATTAAATTTTAAAGTAAGGCATCTGACAGAGTCTTTAAAGGTGATATGTGCAGTTTAAGTTAGAATACTTATTTCATGGCTTAAAATTGGTATATAAGCTGACTAGTGTATTTGAACTACTTGACATAAGCAACATAAGTGCAATGGTCTGGTTCCAGAAATTAAACTCCATTATTTTTTTCCATTTGGAAACTTACATTTAAAAATAACTGCTAACGTTTTTAAAGGGGTAGTTCACTCAAAAACGAAAATCCTGTCATTATTTACTCACCCTTCACTTGTTCAACCTTATTTTAGTTTCTTTTTTTCTGTAAACACAAATAAACATGCTGGTTTCTCTTAATTTGTTTCCTACTTTGGAAGTCAATGGGTGCCAGCTACCAACATTTTTCAAAATATCTTCTTTAGTGTTCAACAGAAGAAAGAAACCCAAGGTTTAAACCCACAACAATAAATAAGTTTGTTTTCATTTTTTGGATGAGCTATCCCTTTAAAGACAGACCTGTCATGAGCACAGAGGTCCTTTGAGGTCATACATGTGATTGCTAAATGCATCTTTTCACGTTAATTCAACTTATTTTTAAAACAATTGTGCATCATAATGGAATTTGTGCATAACTAGATTAACAATAAATTCCAGAACATTATTTAAATTTAAATTGAGAGATGCATTCTAAAGATAAAACTACTTTAAAAAGTTTTGTGTTTCTTTGTTGCTTTCAGATCAACTGTGTAATTCACAATGCTTCATAAAATTTAGGCTTTTCCCTCATTAAAGTCATCAAGTAAACATTCCTTCATCTTTTTGTCTGATTTTCATACACTTATTTTTCTTTGCTTCATAGCTGGTTAGTTTGGTTAATTTCTTATTATTACACTTTAACAAATAAATAAAAACTATTTTAAAAATCCTATGGGAGAAATATTTCTGGAACCAGCACTAATGTTAATTAGGAAACCTGTTTGAAGACCTATTTGTTTTGTTCTGCTTGAAGTTTCACACATCACCTTTAATTTAGTGTTTTGGTAACATAAAACATTCCCAAAATTTCACTCAGTTTGGTTGAAATTACAGCAATTGTACGTTTTGTGTAACAGTTGGCATGTTTGAGTGCAGGATGCATGTGTTTCCATTGAGGTATGCGTTCATCCTGATCTCCTGAATCACTAGCTCTCGCCGCTCAATCCTCTCCATCAGATCAGCTGCCTCTGTGGTGTACGTCACGTCTTCCCAGCAGTACACCTTCCTGCCGATCTCTGACAGGTTAGAGCTGTCCATCAGTGACCCTTTATCATCTTCATCATCCTCCTCCTCACTGTTGTCCTGGTTCATTGGCTCTTCCTCTTCCAGGTTAGTTCTACTCTTCTTTCTGAATGCTCTAGGTGTATTTAGATGTCTACTGCATGTCAGTTGTGTTGAAACGGCTATTAGAACTATCAGAAGGCCCACGCAAACACTTGATGTGAAGAGTAGTCCTGCCATCTCTGGATGCTCTAAGAGAAAGAGTGAAGATGAGTAAGTTAGATAAAAATAAAAACTGAGCCTTAAAGCGATATTTTGAAAAATTAGAAACTAAAAATTCTGTCAATGTACACACCTTACACTTGTTTCAAATCTTAATTGAGTTTCTTCTTCTTTTGGTGAACGCAAAAGAAGATATTCTGAAAAATGTTGTAAACCCAGCGGGCACCTTGATGTCAAAATGACATCACATTGACGTCAAAAAACATGTCAAAAGTGCAAACTGATCCCGAGGATTCTAGCTGAGAGACATAGTCTCTTCATCGTGTCCTGGGTCTTCCCCGAGGCCTCATCCAGGTGGGACATGCCTGGAATACCTTCCTAGGAAGGCGTCCAGGAGGCATCTGAAACAGATGCCCGAGCCACCTCAGCTGACTTCTCTCGATGTGGAGGAGCAGCAGCTCTACTCTGAGCTCCTCCCGGGTGTCAGAACTCCTCAACCTATCCATAATAGTGCGCCCTGCCACCCGTCGAAGGAAACTCATTTCGGCTGCTTGTATTCGAGATCTTGTCCTTTCGGTCATGACCCAAAGCTCATGACCATATGTGAGAGTAGGAACGTAGATTGACTGGTAAATTAAAAGCTTTGCCTTTTGGCTCAGCTCCTTCTTCACCACAACGGACTGGTACATCGAACGCATTACTGCTGTTGCTGCACCAATACGCCTTTCAGTCTCACGTTCCATCCTTCCCTCACTCGTGAACAAAACCCTGAGATACTTAAACTTCTCCACCTGGGGTAAGGACTTTCCTCCAACCTGGAGATGGCAAACCACCCTTTTCCAGTGGAGCACCATGGCTTCAGACTTGGAGGTGCTGATTCTCATCCCAGCCGCGTCACACTCGGGAGCAAACTGCCCCAGTGCATGCTGAAGGTCCCTGCCTGATGAAGCCAACAGAACAACATCGTCTGCGGATAACAGATGAAATTTTGTGGTCCCCGAACCGGACCCCCTCCAGCCCAAGGCTACGCCTTGAAATTTCGTCCATAAAAATGATGTATAGAATTGGTGACAAGGGGCAGCCCTGCCTAAGTCCAACATGCACTGGAAACAAATCTGACTTATTGCCAGCAATGTCAACCAGACTCCCACTCAGTTCATACCGGGACGAGACGGCCCTCAACAGATCGCCTCTGACCCCATACTCCCCGAGCACCCTCAACAGAATGCCACGAGACAACCAAAATAACAACACAAAAAGTTTTTTTTTTTATTCCAAATTAAATGAGATGACAAACTTACACTGGATTTTGTATCCCTACAATGCATGTTAAGCTTGTCAAAACGACAAAATATTGACATCTACACTCAATGGCCACTTTATTAGGTACACCTGTCCAACTGATCGTTAACGCGAATTTCTAACCAGCCAATCACATGGTAGCAACTTATAGCATTTAAGCCTGTAAACATGGCCGAGGCGATCTGCTGCAGTTCAAACCGAGCATCAGAATGGAGAAGAAAGATTTAAGTGATTTTGAATGTGACATGGTTGTTGGTGCCAGAAGGGCTCTCTAGGGTTTACAGAGAATGGTCCAAAAAAGAGCAGATATCCTGTGAGTGGCAGTTCTGTGGGCGCAAATGCCTTGTTGATGCCAGAGGTCAAAGGAGAATGGCCAGCATCTTTGAACGAACATGTTCAACCTTGAGACAGATGGGCTACAGCAGCAAAAGACCCTACCGGGTGCCTCTCCTAATATTAGATGTCAATTTTATGTCATTTTGACATCAAGGTAGTCAATTGCCAACAAATCAATTTGCATTTTTGACAGGTTTTTTTTTATGTTGTTTTGACATTAAGATGGGAGCCAGTAGCCATTAACTTCCATAGTAATTTTTCGTTTAGTCTATTATGGATGTCAATGGCTACTAGTTTCTGACATTCTTCAAAATATCTTCTTTTGTGTTCAACTTGAAGTAAATGGGAAATACATTTTCACTTTTGGATGAACATAAGTTTAAGACATCGGTTTACCTGTGATGTAGCCAAATCCCATTAAAGCATTGCTTAAAATAATCCCGCCCTCTGGAAACTTTGAGCTTCTGATAACTGGACGTTCTGCATATAAAGAGGAAGATAATTTAGTAAGTTGTATACCTCAATTGCACAGATTTTACTTAATGTGCTGTCATCTTTGTCACTTTCACCTTCTTTGGTGCTTTGGCTAGGCATTGAGGTAGTCAGGAAACTGCTGGGATCAGCCTCCTTGAGTAAACTTTGTGGAACTGAAACAGGAAAAACAGTTAACAGAATCTCCCTGGATCTTTCAGTGCGAAGCTGATGAGTAATCTTTATTTTTCCTGTTAACTGATTCTGCTTTCCAATCAGTAACAAAAGATTGCCATTCAAAGCAATCACAGGAAGTTTTACAGGAAGCCCCGAGGTCTAAAAATGCCAGGCTCATTCCCTAGTTTTATTCCCAAACATGTTTTGACTTCATTGTAATTTATGAGACAGGAAAAAATACACGGGTAAATCAACAATCTGTCTTTTCCTACACTTTCAGTCAATGGGAAACTGATATAAGATATGCCATGATGTGAAGATTGCATGTTAAATAGTGACCTAGTTCGACACATTCTGAAAAGTTTTACTTGAGGAAGATTTTAATGCATATACTGCATACCGCATGCATAGAGGATGGTGATATACTTTTTTGTTCCAGGAGGGCAGGGGTCTTTGAAATGTTTCTGATCCACAGTAAACAAACACCTCTGTTTGCCATAGCAGATGTTGGACACCACATCCACAGCTCCATGATGAAGACATTCTGTCAAATAATTAAAATCAAAATTATTATCTTATCACCCCCTAATAAAGCACAAAAAAACACAACATGGCTTTTGAATCATTGCAGAAATCAATCCTGGCCTAGTTATTAGGTAGACCTTGCTAGTACTGGGTTGAACTGACTTCTGGGTTTGACCATTTTGTTAAATAGAATTTTTGATCATATAGAAACGGTATCTATATATACACATTCCAGTTTTGAACATGCGTCTAATTCACATCAGTAGATGGATACATAGATACTGTCTTGTTCAAGAAAGCAGTTTGATGTGATTTGAGCTTTGCAACATTGTACTTTATTCTACTGGAAGTACAATTCATCTATAGCTTTCGTCATGAGCCACGGCTGTGTTCAAAATGGCATAAATGTTGTGAGTGCACAAGGAAGGGAGCAATATTATCAATATTAGGATCACTAAAACTGAACTGTAAATAATACTATGAAAGCAAATCACACCTAAGAGTGATGACTTTAATGTTTCCTTTCTAATCATTCCCAAGTTTAAATGTTAGAATGTTCTAAATGAATAGGGCGTAGGGAGGATAACTGGAAATGGAACACAGCAAGGCACTATGCTACTAATTACAGCTCTAGATATGTAGTTGCAGGCGTACAAGTTTGTGATGCAGTTTACGAAAGTTTGTTGGAATGAAGAATTTGGGAACGCAAAATCAATGAACTATGTTTGTAGCAATGGAATTTCCATCATTAGTCAACTAAGGTTGCTTTTCAGAAACACACCCCAGGTCATTATCTTTTGATGTCGCTGGGTACTACTTTGTAAGACAACTTTCTTTAAATCCTAGAGTTTAAAAAAAAACTAGATCCAATAACCATGCCAGGTTTAAAGTCATATAAATCGCCTCTCTGATTTGAACTTCACCAGGGGTCTCATTTATAAAAAGGTGTAGAAACCTTCCTAAAAGTAAACAAACACTAGAATCATTTGAATTTATTTATCAATAATTGATGATTTAATATACAACGGTTTAAAGTGGCGTAATTAAGGTAATATTTAGGTTAAGTATGTTTACTTGGAGTTTACATCTGCGCACATTCTCACATCAAGTTTGTTTAGCATGGGAAGTGGTGTACACACTTTCCACCCCCATTTTGTGTGTATGCCACATTTCAAAATAAGACATCTTGACCACATCTACATGCCTAAATACACTAAGAGCTGCTGCCTTGTGATTGGCTGATCAGAAAGGTGTGATGTACCGGATAAAGTGTCCAGTAGGTGTATATTACTCAATATAAATCTTACATAACCCCAAAAACATACCATACGGAGGTTTTTGTTCCTCAGATGAACACAAGTCTTCCTCCTCCAACAGTCTGCCATAAACAGCAGAGTAGATATTCAGCACTTTTGGATACTTGCAGTGCAGCAGAAGTCGATCACCCTCGCATGTTACTTTCCTCTTGTGCTCAGCTGTAAAACAAATTTTATTTCTAACGTCGAGGAGTAAATATTTGAACAGGAAATAATCAATTGAGGCTTTAAAGGAGGAAATACTCACTAGGTTTACACCTGTATGACACATTGATGTATTTAGGGATTCCTGGACAAGGATCTTTGCCAAAGACTTGATGATTAACCAGAAACTGGCAATCTCTGTGACCTTGGCATTCAGAAAGCACTTTCTAATAAGGAGGGATAGACTGTGTGTTATAAGCAGGGAAAAGTACAGTAGCCTCCCTCGTCCTGATTCTGGATATGTGTTACTTCTGTAAGCCAGAAATGAACATGATCGGCTCCCACAGGAGTCTAGTCTTACAACAAAACCCTCTTGGGTTTGCTTTTGCGGTGGGACTACATTAAAGCTTCTAAAACAGGTTTATTAGTGCAAGCACAATTAACGAGGCTCTATGTTCATATCGTTTTTATATCAATTGCTTATATATTTCCAAATATAAATGAAACATTAATCTATTAGTTATCTAAGCTGTTAGTTACGAGTTAATTGATTAGGGTTATTAGTAACTATAAACTAAAAAATATGGGGTTATTTTTTTCTACCCAAATCTTGGGTTGAGGCATTTGGGTAATTTTTGGGGGTTATTTTCAGAGCCTTGGGTAGTTTCATTTCAGCTCTTGGGTCAAATCAACTCACAGCAGGGGCTGACTGGGATATCACATATTATGTACTAATTTGTTTAAATGCAATGAAAATAGCGTAACATAAACACAGATTTCTTGCGTTTTCAGATGATTAAAATTAGATTTATGCTCATAGCAGCGCTTAGTCAGACCTTTCTGGATTAAAAAAATTCTTACTAGCACCTTTTGTACACCTGTAATCAAAGCTGCACATCCCCCACCGTACTTCAGTGATGCCGAGTCAAAGCAACACAATTGTTGGGTCATCTTTCGCAGGCATTTTCGGATCAAATTAACCTTTTATTTAAGTAAAAATTAACCATTTATTGGGTAAAAAAAAAAAAAATCATTTATGGGGTTAAAAATAACCCAATTACTTGGGTTAATTTAACCACGGGTGTGTTCTGTCCTATATTTACCCAGCAGTAGGGTTAAAAACAACCCAATTTGGGTAGTTTTTAACCCTGTGTGCAATAAACTTTTCTGAATTTGATTGTATTGCAATAATGTGCACCTTTTGTAAAGCTGCTTTGAAACAAGCTGCTTTGATTGTGAAAAGTGATATACAATTAAACTTGAATACAATTGAATTAAAACACAAGATCTTTCCACAGTTCCTTTGTCCTGTGGACTGATTTTAATGAAAAGGCAACTCAGAAGTTTTTTTTTGTTTTTTTGTTTGCAAAGAAAATCAAAAGGATGTGAAGTTTACACATGTTCATGTGAACGTCTTTGTACAATGTCCAAGATAAGAATAATCTTAACGTCATCTCAGCAGCATGGCGGCACCTGGAGGTTAGTTTTTAGTATATCGCTGCTCGGGTATTCCAACTAAAACTTTTCTTTCTTTATTTGAAATAGAAATATGCATCTCTGCACTAAATCGTGTTTAGTCTTTAGTACATCATGTTGTACTAGTGCATGCAGGAGCAGTACATTTTTGTTGGCAGTCCACTTAACAGTAATAAACAATAAAAAACAATATTAAACTTGTTCAAAGTTAAACTTAACAATAAACTTAACAATAATAAACTTGTTCAAATTCTAAATGCAGAAAACTTTAGTGTTGTGCTTCTCACCTGCAGTGTTGTGGAAGCAGAACAGCTGTGGTTATGCCATTGGCATCTCATTCTTGGCTCAAGTCCGACCAGGGTTTCACTCTGTCCATAAAATGCAGACTGAATAGTTATGGTGGAGTGTCGTGGACACTTGAGGATCAGCAGATCTCCATCACAGGCTTGAGCTGATTGACTTTTGATGATCCTAAACAGATAATCTAACAAAATATAACATTACATTGCTCTATTGATCTACTGCAATTCTGAAATGTGTTAGGAAATGCATTATCTATCTATCTATCTATCTATCTATCTATCTATCTATCTATCTATCTATCTATCTGTCTGTCTGTCTGTCTGTCTGTCTGTCTGTATCTGTCTATCCGTCCGTCCGTCTGTCTATCTATCAATAAGAGTCTATCTATCTATCTATCTATCTATCTATCTATCTATCTATCTATCTATCTATCTATCTATCTATCTATCTATCTATCTATCTATCTATCTATCTATCTGTCTGTCTGTCTGTCTGTCTGTCTGTCTGTCTGTCTATCTGCCTGTATGTCTGTTTCTGTCTGTCTGTCTGTCTGTATCTGTGTATCTGTCTGTCTATCAATATGTTAGTCTTTCTGTGTCTGTCTGTCTATGTATGTCTGTCAGGAATATTTAAAAGAAGAATGATTTGATGAGATTTTGACTTGACATATAGACATTAAAATATGGGTTGGAGTGCAGCCCTAAAATACGAATTAAATGTCAAAAATTACTTGGGTTTCTGCAATTGTCAGAATGAAGCATTTAATTATTTAAAAAAAAAACATAATACAATATAATATTACTTTTAATAACAGATCAGAGAAGTAATTTAATTTTGGATGAATACAGGCTACATAAATGACAGTGACATTTAATTTTGACAGGTTATTTGGAAAAAAAATTAGACACTAATATAATATGCGTTCTCTGTATATGTAAAACTAATCTTGTACATTTATGAAACCTTCATGAATAAGTACTTGACTTACTTGAGAAATCCGAGAGTCCGTCCATCTCTTTGGTCCACAGTATGAGTACACTGTAAAGTATTTGAAGACAGAGCCCAGGTGCACGGCAGCTTCTCAGGTGCTGCGCTGAGATCATAGTCACAGTCTGCAATTATTTCTGCATCAAATCCGCGTGCATTCAAGCGCGTGCTGGAGAAACGCTCGCTGTCACAAACTCCCGTGTTCCTCTCCCACCTGCGGTTACTCTCACCCGGCTAAAGTATGTCTTCATACCGCGACTCGGACATCCCAGTCCTCAAGAGCCAAAGCGAACTCCTCGGTAGCCTTTCTCCTATAATTAAAATACAGTCAGAAGATTTAAGGCGGAAAGAAAACATTTGTAAGCGACGCAGTCACTGTGTTGAAGCCTGAAATGGGGAAATAGCAAGTGCGCAACAAGTCAGTGGTACCTAAAACCGGCGACTTTGCATTGTTATTCGGTTGTTGATGGTTTTGTGGTCACCGGTGAGACTTCTTATGGTACCAGGACGTGTTTGTTTTGACACCCAGAAAGTGATTTTTGAGTAGGATGAATAACAATTTTAGACGGGGCGTGGCGGTAAATGGCTCAAATAGGCAGTGGGTAGGAGTTGAGAGGCACGGGCTTGGATTTTATAACCAATCTGATCAAAGTGTGTATTTTTATAGTTATTAAATAATCATTTATTGATTTAATAATTAATCAATTGAATATAGTCAACAAACCGAGTGTTTCTGAAGCAAAACTTTATAAAGTCAACAACATATAATTTAAAATATGTAATAAGTCAATAATATAGCCATATGTTTGCTTGTCTTGTTTTGAAAGTATTGTATTACGTATGTGTTTGTGAGTTCGGTTAGATTATTATTAAGACGTTTAGAATGAAGTGAAAGTGTTTCTCCGGTGCAGCAGAGGGCGCTGCGTGGTGGTCAACTTAGCTGCAAGTTCACAGAAGAACTGCTCCCGCGTACGTTTGAAAACACAGGGTGTTCAGATGGCTGGCAAAATTAAAATCCCCGATGAATGTAGCCATAAAACATACTCTGTTTGCGAGAGTACCGCTGACAGCAGGAGTAGAGTGGAGGAAGATGGAGAAAGCGACGGTCCAGCGGTGTTTATGTGCGGCAAATGCAAGCTGCCAATCGGAGACAGTCTGTCCTGGGCTGGCAGCGATGATGAGAACAACCAAATCATGCTCAAACGTAACTATTCTTCCATTCAATTGTGTTATTTATGTAAAATACTAGTTATAACCATGTTTTGATCAAACATACTAGTTTTGTTTTGTTGAATAATTTCAAAATGTTATCTGTAGTCTGATAGAAATAATAAAAACAGTAATATTTGTATACACTTGTTTCAATTCTGAAGTTGTTTTACATTTAGATGTATATTAATTCATGACACTGTAACACAGAGTTTAGCAGTAATATGTCTTAAAGCTTATATCTTGACTTTTACATGTGGATTTTTAGGGATTACTGACAACATTGTTGTAGGCAAAGAGCCATTTGTTTCTGGGACCCGAAAGGAGCTTGGATGGTGAGGATGAATTTTTCATAATTTACTGTTTCACACACACATCTTTGTGTTTGTTATATATACAAAAGAGCAAGTGATTTATGTTATTTTGTTTTTTTTTCTGACAAATTAATATGAAGTTTTAAAATGACAATTGAATAATACTCTTTTTTTTGTGGCTGCATGTATTTATATCCTACCTTAATTCATAAAATTTGTAGGAAAGTATTACAGCATATTTAAAGAAGTTGGTACAATTTTTTCTGGCAAAAATATGTTTTTTGCACTGTTTGGAATTTAGTTCATAATGAAAATGTATGATAGTCATTGTTTGCTATTAAAGAAAAAGTTAAATTGGACTGGACATGCAAAAAAATCAACAATCCCCCCACACATTCTAATGTCATGGAAAAAAATGACATTTTACTGCACTGTAAAAAGCAGTTAGTTAACTTTACTTTTAAAAAAAGTGAGTAAACCCTTTTCTGTTTAAAGTGATTGACTTTATTTTAAAAACTATGTTAATTCATTGGCTCAAATTAAGGTAAATAAACTATATTCATGGGCGTCACATTGACGCAGTGGGTAGCATGATCGCCTCACAACAAGAAGGTCACTGGTTTGAGCCTTGGCTGGGTCAGTTGGCATTTCTTTGTGGAGTTTGCATGTTCTCCCCGTGTTGGCATGGGTTTGCTCTTGGTGCTCCTTTTTCCAAAGTCCAAAGACATGCATTATAGGTAAATTGTTTAGGCTAAATTGTCAGTACTCTATGTGTGTGAATGAGTGTGTATGGATGTTTCCTAGTGATGGGTTGCAGCTGGAAGGGCATCCGCAGTGTAAAACATATGCTGGATAAGTTGGTGGTTCATTCTGCTGTGGCGACCCCTGATTAAAAAATGGACTAAGTCAAAGAAAACTGTGTGAATGAACTGTTCATAGTTATAAAGATTAAGTCAATTCAGTAGATCCAAGCTAAAACCGGTTTAATCACTATTTTTAAGTAAATTCTTTAAGGCAACAGGTTTACTCGCATTGTCTAGTCAAGTAACTAGTCACTTTTTACAGTGTATACCTTCATTGTTTAGATCAGCATCTGTGTAAATTTGTCTCTCGCATTCAGCCTTGTTGTGAATCTCACCTGCCGTGGCTGTTGCTCAGAATTAGGAGTCATGTACATATCAACCCCGAAAAAGCTGGATTGCAAGAGATCCCTTTTCTGCTTTAATGTGGAAAATATTGAAAGGTACATAACCTGTTGCACATGAGCTTGTATTGTTTTTATTTTTGTTAATTTCTAGATTTTTTTTTATTTGTGTTAATTCATGTGTATCATGTCTCGATTATGTATCTAGCTATGTAGTGGGAAGTCCAGGCCAGCAAATGCCAGAATTAGACAGAGAAGACAAACCAGTGACCCTGGAGTACCAGGACACTGTGCATCAGCAGATGACAGAGGTAAAGCAGTTCATCTGTTTAAATTATTGATATGTGAGCATGATGCAAACCAACGTAAATCGCCTTCTCTGCTCTCAAATAAGCAATTTCGTTATCATTGCATGTGGAGACATTTTTGGATTGGACAAGTTGCATCAAGTTGCGTTTTTGTAAAAATTGCAGCGTGTTTTGTTAATTTGTTTGCACTGTGGGAAAATGCAGTGCGTTTTTTTTTATGTCTATGCATTGTAAGGATTTGCAGCACGTGTGCTGTTAAACCGATGAAGATCTTTTCTTAATTTTTGTGTTTTGTAATTGCATGTGTTTCTTAAATTGTAGCACGTTAAGCTCTCTTGGCCACCATAAAAGCATTTTAATAACATGAATAAATTTTAGCTAAGAGATAAAACGCTTTATTTTTAGGAGTCCTTTTTACGTATGTTTTTTGTAATACTATAGCAATTAGAATTAATTATGCATAAATTCATGCAACTAACCCTATCCATATAGTAAGTACATGTCATTAATGTTACTCAGTAGCTAAATGAATAGTTAAATGGTAACAAGGACATCTTCAAAAAAGTTTAACTTGGTTACGCTGCAAAAATCTTCTAATAAAATGTATTATATGAATCAAAACATGGAACATTCAAAGGAATGATAGTATATATGTACACTAATAACTATACATTGTCATGCATTTCAACAAATTGAACTAAGTTTCTTGAGCATGTGTTGAGTATTTTTGAGAATTAGTTAAACTATAGTTTATCTACAAAATATCGAAATAATAACAACGACAAAATTAGCTGATTCACTGAACTGATTTATACAGAACTGTTGGATTTATCTAGAGCATTTACGGCAAGTATATTATAAGTAGGTGTAATTAAAATATGAAAAAATTACCAGTTACTTCTAAGTGTATAAGTAATTAAATTACAGTAACCAGTTACTTAGTAAGTCATCACACCCAGCAATGAACTAAAATACAGAAAGAATAAAAAAAGAAAAAACTAAGGTAAATCGATAAAAACTGAAATTGAGAATGTAAATGATAAATAAATATTTGAATAATAAAATTTTTTTATTTGAATCAAATCATGGAATATTTCAAAGGAATGATATAATATATGTACATACTATACATTATCAAAGCATGTCTCTTGAGCTTGTGTTGAGTATCCTTGAGCATTAGTTAAAACTAGTTTCTCTACAAAATATCCAAATAACAATAGCAAAAAAATGTATCTGATACACTGAACTGATTTATACAGAACTGTTGAATTTATTTAGAGCATTTAAAGCAAGTATTATAAGTAACTGTAAATAAATCACCTAAAAATTAAGAGTTATTTCATTGTTTTAAGTGTATAAGTAATTAAATTACAGCAACTAGTTACTTATTAACTCATCACACCCAACAATAGACTAAAATACAGAGTAAAAAAGAAATAAACTATAGGTAAAAATATTGATACAAACTGACATTTAAAATTTGTGTGCATTTTTAAAACATAAAAGCATATTAATCATTTTTGAAAATAAAAACTAAATCATGCATGCACAAAAGTAATGTATTCTTTAAAATAAGAGTTTTGGAAAATAAAATATGTCTTTTAAAGCATGGGTTCCCTAACCTTTTAGCTTTTGACCCCTAACAAACCATTCCAGTGACTCGAGACCCCCACTATACTTGGAGGTGGTATAGTAGGAACTATATAAACAAGCTAATTGACAACACAAAGAAGTGCAACAGTCTAACAACCATATCATTTTAATAGTCATTATTCACTTGTTTAATTTAATATTAACCTCATCTTAATAAGAATGGTGGCCACAATGTTTACAGCACAATACTTGGTTTAATTTTGGAGACCGCCACTTTGAAATCGTCCTCTGTTCAGTCGTGGCCTTTATTTTTAATGTATATAAGGTAAAGGTGTGCATTAAACCATAAAGGTGTCAAAGTTTAACATTGTGTCGTAAAATCAGTCTGCTGCAACTAACACTATTGCTGTCTCAGTAACCTAGCGTAATCAGTACAGGGGCTGCAATCTAATGGAAAAAGAGTTGAAAAGCTGATGGCTTTTGATTTGCATGTAGATTTTTATGTAACTATTGAATACTGTTTTTTTATCTTTTGCAGGTTATAGCTAAAACATGGTATTTCTAATAGTTTAATAACATGTGTGGTATTTTTAGAAATCAACAAGAGGCCCCTAATTTGGGAACCACAGTTTTTTATAGTGCTCAAGTGAACAGCAGATGGCGCCCTTGTGGCGCTGCTGGTGCTCTTTGTTTGGTCACTGAGTCCAGCAAACAATAGATATTAGGAGCTGTTAAAGAATTTGGTCTAGGAAAGGGTGATGACAGCTGTGTCTGTTTGCTATATATTAATGTTATGTTTTAATTACATCTATCATGTCGATGTGTATGGCAAATAAATCAAATGAAAACTTCTGATAAGAAGATTCCTGTGGGTGATGATGAAATGTCTTCAGCATCGTGTGAACGAATGCTTTAGTGATTTTACTGATATGTATTAGTACTTTGTGTTCTGCCAATTATGTTTTATCATATTAAATTTCAAAGTCACGTTCCCTGCTCTCTGTCTGACTTCCTGTTCTTTAATGTGTCTTTCAGATAACATCTCTAGCAGTGATAATAGGACAACGCCTGCTGGAGATTGAAAATAACCTCCAGTGCAGTTCAGAAAAATGATAAGTGCTTTTGCAAGGGGAATGTCTGGTTTTGGGTGAAAATCACACATCCTCAATGAGGTTTTGGTGTAAGATATTTTTGTCTTAGCAGTAATGGATTTATACGTTGATGCTATATAAATGTATGCAAGTAACAAACATACATTTTGTAATATCTTTTCATTAACACCATGAAGGGAATTTTCTGAAATCTGTACAGTTATGGGACAATTCAAGAGACCACCTGACAATTCTCAGCTTCTATGACTTAATTAGGAATATATTATATATATATATATATATATATTTGTGTATGTTTATGCATATTTTGTTATTAAATAATGTATATTTAGAAAAATCTCAGCAGACTTACTGTTTATACAATAAACCAAATATTAACATTATACTCAAACTCATACTTATTAAATTATTAGAAACACACATGTTTTCAAGCTATCTCTTGTTTGTTTTTCCCATGACTGTAGATAGATAGATAAATAAATATATTAAATATTATAACCTTATATTATTCTTAAAACATGTAAATATGTTTGTGTTCATCTATATTGTCAGAAGCGATCTTGGTTGTTGTTGTTATTGTCGAGTGACGTAATACACGATGGATATATGTACAATAAACGTAATGCTAAAGCACCACACGTGTTGTTGTTTTTTCCCTCCACTTGTTTGTTTTTGATATCACATCCTTTACATCAAAACATCCCAGCCCCAACCCTCTGAGAAACCGGTTCAAAACAAGTGGATGTGAACGGGGGGGCAGGGTGGTCTCGAGCTTTTAGTTGTTTACAGTTCCTGTCTAATGTGCCTAGCAACACTCTCCACCGGGAGGGTGGAAACGAGGCGTAGAGACCCCTGAAGGCGCGCACCCCAACTCCGAATGCTGGGGTAGCATAACAACAGACAGAAGCGCGCGCCTCGGACCAACCAGAGAGCTGTATCCAAGGTCTAAAACAAAGCCCGCACGCTTGTGCTAGAGCCTGTTGCCATAGCATCCATCGTTTCCTTATTCGCCCCTAAGCCAATCAGCTGGCGAGGCGGTCTGTTGGTGTGATGACGTCGTGCTTCAGTCGTTTGAAAGGGGCGTGGTCTCCATCTCCCGCGCCCGCGGAGACCTAACCTCTCTCTTCATTCTGGCGTCTTTCTGAACTCCTCCTCCGGTCTGCCTCTAAACCCGGCGGAGTTAAAAATAGGAACGAGGTAAAACCTACTCATTGCATCATGTTTACTGTTTGTGTCCAGCAGAGGGAAACATCACTCTGTATAAGTGGAAAACATGCATAATTTCTAGCTCAACCGACCAGATAATCAATTTTGTTTCCCAATTTGCTCTCTTGATTAGCAAAGAAAAGTTTACTTTGTTACTGGAAAGCTCCCTCTAAATCCCCCTCCTTATAAAAAAGAAAATCCCCGCACCGTCCTGGAAGTTTTTGGATTTTAAAAACATTTATACGAGGATATTATTGTGTTTCCCCCCAAAAAATAACCAAACTGCAACCATATGAGAACGTTAGGGGAACATTCTGTGTTTGCTGGATAGTTGGTTGGTTCATCTAAATGAAGTCAAAACCGTCCGTTTTAATTTCTTTTTTTAGTAGTGTTGTATTATAAACGAATCAGTCCATACTCATATTCTCATTTACTTTATAAATCAAGTCCTCTTGTAATAGGAGTTTGCAAACGTTTTCCTATGAAGGGCCAAAAGCCAAACTTGATTAGGGGCTGTGGGCCGAAGGTAAATATACCAAACTGCTGTGTAAAACACGCAGGGTTCCACACATCAAATCTGGTTGTCTCAACACAAATCGACTCAATTAACACATTTATTAAGTGGATTAAACATAAAACAATTAAGTTGTCCCAAAAAAAAAATCTCAAGAATTGTGTTAAGCTCGTTTTGCTTATGCAAAATAATTTTGTGTTTATTACATAAAGTTGCCATGGGTCATTTCTTAATTTATTTAATATTATTAATAAATAGATTTAATCATATTGAATGATGCAATAGCATTAAAATTGTATAATGAACTTAATACAATAAAAACATAATTCCTATTTAATGCAGATCAATGCCGAATACACTAGTAAAGCTGCTTCTGCTGATGTCTTCTGCATTGTCGAGTTATTTACAACATTTAGTTGAAACATTTACTTTCAGTTTGCTGTTTTGTAGCTCAACAATAAAACAAACTTCCAAAAAAAAAAAACTACCTCTCTTCTAAGACTGGATGGCGGGCCAAATTAAAACTTACCAAAGGTAAGGCCTGCGGGCCCTATTTGGTAATCTCTGATCTAAGTAAAGCTTAGTTCACACCACAAACAAAGTCTATAACTGAATACTAATCGTATACAGCAGTTCAACAAACAATTAGTTAATAAGTTTTCTTTGTGCTCTATTATTAAGGTTATATAATTATAGTAAGCTTGGAATTTATATATATACAAGGCTGAATATTGAAGAATATCTGGTAAAATATTATGTACTGTCATCATGGCAAAGAAAAAAGAAATTCCTTAAAATGTGTTATTAAACTAATGTTTAAATGTAGAAATGTGCTAAAAAAAATATTTTCTCTATTAAACAGAAAAAATACAAAAGAATTAAAATATAACAGGTAGGCTAGCAATTCGCTAACACTTCATTTTGATGGTCTCTATTGCACATTTTGTTGAATGAAAGTTTTGTAACTACATGCCCATTCTAATTTGAGTATTAGTAGACTGTCTGCTTAATATCTGCTGATACTGGTCCCTCAACAGACATTAAACTGACTATAAGAAACTTTGCAAGTACATGCCAACTTACACTAACCCTTACCTAACAGTCTGCTTATAATCTAAAAAGAATTAGTTGGCATGTACATTTAACTTAAATTCAACAAAATGCATTAAAGGGACCATCAAAATAAAGTGATACCATGTATGTGTGTGTGTGTTTAAATGTGTTTAAAACAAGTTATCTCATAACAGCACATTTATAATATATGACTAATAAATATATGTTAATCATTTTTCTGAAGTTAAGAAATTTGTATTGTTTTTAAATTAAAGATGCCTGAATATGGCACATTTTTTCTTATTTTATGCACAAATTCTTTAAGAATGTAGTTGCGTGTTTGAGTAAGATGAATATTTGTTTTATTTTGTTAACTACGACTATCTTACACCTGCTGCAAAAAGGCACAAGATGTGTTTGGCACAATTTGTTGCTATTTTTCGACCAACGCAACCCTAATTTTAAAGTTTTGCACCACATGGTTTTAATAACAAATCCATTTGCACAACTTTGTGGACTTATAAGTGTGGTGGTCTGAAAAGGAGGTGTGTTAAGGCACATTGTTGGCACGTTGCTATTTTGAGGAACTAAAATAGACTGCATTGACTAAATAAAACTGGTCTAAATTCCAGCGCAGAGCGTGTTTGTTATGCGCCTATGTGGGTTCAGACACTTAAACATTGCTTACACATAATGTGCTGCAATACACAAATATCTTTACATATAAAAAAATAAAGGATTAAAATGTTACAAACGTTATTATTTTCTACATAAATATAAAAAACACTGCCTCCATGCCTTCATCTCAGGGGGGCTTTTTCAGTTTTCCTCATAACAATTTGCATTTGTATAATGTTATTATTATTAATATTATTATTATTATTAGCAGTGTTATTTATTAAATGCATATTTACATTTATTTTAATAAAAAGTTTAGATTTGTCCACCTGTCAGGATTTGGAGACGAATGCATCTTAGTTATTGTTACACTTCATTTACAGTTCTTTTATTCCTTTGCTGGAAATTAGAACAGAATTTAGAAATAGTTTTGAAACTAATCTTTTTAAAGTAAAGAGTAAAAGTGAAGAGACAGTAAAGAGGCAGAATGGAGGAGGCTTATCCTTTATCCTTGCGCTGATTTTCTCGCTAGTGAAGCGTTCAGTTTTTCCACTTACGAAGTCTGCCATGTAAATAGCAAATGCGCCATGGCACAACGCAACTGACTATTAAAGGGGATGGGAGATGAGACTCTGATTGGTTTAATGCACATTATGCTCAAAACACACGCATGACTTAAGAGAATAAGCACAACCCTGTTAGACCATTCGCCATGGCGCAAAGTGTATTTTTCGTATTTTTACGTCCTTAAAATAGCAAAAGTGCAGTCGGACATGCACTTTGCGCCTAGATTAATTCTACCAATAGAATTCTACCAATGTCCTGTTGCATAAAATAACAACAACAACAACTAAAAAAGAGTAAGAAATAAGAGACACAATAATAAAAAAACTTCACTTTCCACTTTGGTTTTTACTTTTCACTTTTCAGGACATGCATGGGTGTGAATAAAATTTATTGCATTCACCAAATGCTTTTAGAATGAAACATACAATACACCAGTTTAATTTCCCTTCTTGTCACATTTTTGGCAAAAGATGATTTATCTGTATTCCTTGAATCTTCATTCAACCAATTTGTTCATCAGCATTTCATGTGCACTAATAAAAGTTTTTATCCTTTATTGAGGATCCTTTATTAACTCTCCAGTAAAGAATTCCAAAAATGTAAGGCCCTGCTGTTTGCGTACACGGTGTTCTGGTTAAAACACCACGCTGAAATTCTTAAAAACAAACAAATCATTCATCGTATTTGTTCAAGCACCAAAGCGGTGACAGCTTATATTCAGAAAAATATGCTAATTGTATGGTTCGTTTTCATTGGAATCAGCTTCTTGTTTCATAAGGGGATTCATAAGAAATAAAATAAAAATAATATGAATCAGAATGAGCTGTAAACATGCCTTTAATAATTGTATAGATGTTGCAGTCTTTGTTCTGGTCTACTGAATTTTTAATTTAAGTATTTTTCTCCCCTGGACTGTTCCCTTTTTTTTCTTCTTTTTTTCCCCACTTTCTCCGCCAGCCGCTGTCATTTTGATTAATGGACGCTGGCTGCAATCTCAGAGTGCATCTCACTTGAACTGAAGTGCTGATGCTCTGCACTTTCTCTATGATCTTAGCCACACCATCCACCTCCATCGCAGTGTCCAGACCTAGACACACACACGCACATAAACACGTACACACTTTGTCCTGGAGGACTGGCGAGATGGTAATCAATAATGTAGACAGTCTGATTAAGTGAAGGTCTTTGCAAGCAGCACAGTGAAGACTGTGGAGACAAACCCTCCAATAGCAGAGCAGCTCAAAACAGGATTTGCACGTTTGTTCTAGCTAATATGCAAATTGTCTGTTGGGCGGAACAGCTGCTTGCATTTGCGTGTAAGCTTCAACATTGCTTGGAGTGACGACTGAAAGAGTTATGAACTACCTGTCGTTTCACAACAGAACATGTTCTCTGGAAGTGCTACGTTCAAATTTTATTGTGCATGTTACTTGGGACGGGTTTGAAGCTTCTAATTCAGAAGCATACTTAAAATAATTTCGTAATCGTTTGTTGAAACAAGTCCGTCATGGTGGATGGGTTTTCTGAGTTCAAGTATTTGCACATGATGACAAGGTTTTTTGTTATATTATTGTTATTATATATATATATATATATATAAACTCAAAGAAAATGTCAAAATGTGTTATGTTTACACAGATTTGCATGAATGAACTGCTGTCATTGCAGAGATATT